GATGACCTCCTCAGATTCGTCTCGTTTCCTGCATGCTGTCCTCGTCCGTCATCGTCCAGGTAGACTTCGGAGACCTGGCTGGGAGCCTGCGACCGCTCGGAGGGCGCTGTGGGCGCAGAGGCCGTGCTGGCAAGCCTTTGCACGCTCGGTGCACAGAGGTTCTTTTTGGAGAGTTCGTTGGCACGGGAAATGCACCCACTTCGACTTAGAGCAGCTTAGGATCTCCGACCCCACAGCCAGTACGTTGCCCTCACGTTAGGCCTTGGCGGTTCAGCATGGGTTGAAGAGGCCGGGCTGCCTCGAAGACTTGCGCCGTGTGACAGGGCGCTACCAGGAAGGGGTCGCACCTCTGATAAGCACGGCCTTATGCGGTCATTGGCCGACCCGCAATCATGCCAGAGTGTGGACAGCAATGTTATGCGATGCCTCTTTGTCCTACTTCTCAGCTGATCGGCACGGCAAAGGAACATGGAAGTTATCCGCGTGCTCAGGCGCAAGCGCCAGTCCGCTTGAGATTTGGCACCATGCCCTTCTCAGGCTTCATTCAATGACTCTCTTGTGTGAATGTGAGCGACTTCAGAAACTTTTCAGGCGCTTTGTGCCTGAGGGCTTTTTCTGTCTAAAAAGTCTGCACGACTGTGACTGCCAGCTGGCACGGTCAGTCTGGAAGCGCGGGGCACTTGCATGGAGTCAAATGTAAAGTTGCAGCGATGTGCAGCAAAGCTTCATGTGCTGGAGGCCGGGTCCACACCCGCAGCCTGAAGGGTGCGTCTGGTCCCTGTGCTGGGCGACGTGCCGATGTGCTGGCACAGGTTGAGCGCGGCGTTCAGCGCGTTCAGCACGTTCAGCTTGCTGGAGGATTCATGTCGGGCAGATACGGAGACTTGCTCGTGTGAGCTTAGGGATGGCGGCGCTGCTGTGTCCACCTCAGCCCGTGTTGGCACAGTTCGTTTGGTCCCCCTCCAGAGAGACATGGCGTAAGGAGATACGTGTGCGAAACACAGCTTCGTGAGGACTTCTGGGCCGGGCCATTCGCAGCCGAGCTGCTAGGCTTGCACGGCCGGCCACAACGCTGTCAACAAAACTGCACGTTGGGGCCGTCGGGGAGCTCATCCTGCGTTTTCAGGTCCCTGATGGATCCGAAAGCCCGAACCCCCAAAGCCTCCCAATCCTCCTGAACTCCTAATCCCTAAACCCTAAACCCTGACAATTCAGAGGGCTGAAGATGTGCTGGCTCGTTGCGCTTCTAGCAAGGGCCGTAGGCAAGCAGGCGAGGTTAGGCAGAGGTTCCACAACTGTCCGCATCACCATCGAAATCATTACTGTGCCCTGGTTTGTAGGGTTTGCAGACTGCTCACGAGGTTGGCCATAGCGTGCAGCCATATGCTGCTCGGGTAGCACCCGTCACTCGGGTGCTCTCCTTGGCTGGGAGTTGTTGCGTGGAGCGACAGTTGTAGCTTCCAACGCTTCTAACTTGTGGCATGATGGGGAGATCTGCATCAGATCTGCGTCGATGCTTGGTGAGTTTAGCCCTCGCCTCCAGCATCGAGCATCTGGCCGCCATCTAGCCTGACATTTCTTAGCTCACAGGAACCGGAAGATATCCAAAGACGCACATTGGCGTCATCGACAAGATCCTTCCGGCATTGGCCCACTGGTGGTGGACACTGTGCGGACGCGGGCATCACATGCCCCGCATGCTCACAAAGCCCAACCTCGAAGTTGATTGCGTTTCATATCTTTCACAGGTGAAAGTGAGAGTCAGGAGATTTCTCCGCCACCGCAAGCAATGCGACTGACGAGGAGCCCCAAGAGAATTGGACGGCGTCTCCTGGATGCTTCGACACCTTGTCTGCTTGGTTGTCTCCACAGCCACAGCCATTGCTTGTCTTGTGCCTTCCCATTTCTTGACACACCTTCTCGAAACACCCGAAAGTTTGTGCGCAGTCCAAGAAAGGTCTTGCTTCTCAAGCTCCGGCACTTGGCCACGACGAGCCCAGTGCAGCGAACAGTTGTCGCGAAGAACCCACAGCAGGCCACGCTGTCTCGAGCCTCTAAGCGCCCTGTCGCTCTGTCGCTGACCGAGCCATCCTGGCTGTGACTCCTTTATTCGGACTACGCTGCTTTTGCTCGAGAAGAGTTGAAAAGTTGAAATGCGCTTAGCGGGTTTTGCCAGCAGGCGCCCTTGCGATGGCAGTCGGTTTGCTCGATTTGCTAGGCGACCAGCGCGGACTCGGCGCGAGTTCGGCGCGGTTGTTGCAATGTTAAAAAGCGACTCGAGCAAGTGTACACAAAACAGCCACTGGCCGGAAACTTGCCAACTCCATTGTATCTGACTTGTGCTTGTAAAGCGGAACAGGAATTCTTGGAAGATGCTTGCTTGGCGCTGCGTTCAGGCTGCCGCCGAGTCACAGCAGGACAAGATGCCGCCAGCGGTGACGCCGCACATCTTTGCCACGTAGTCATGCCTGGATCTGCAAAGCGTTGCCGGCTGCGGAGCAAACATGCGCAAACTGTGCCGTGTCGGCCTCCCCTTGCTAACATGATGATAGCGAGGTTTCTCAGCAATGCCTAAGCCGCCATTGCCGCGGAGCTGCAATGATCAGCCGAACTCAGCACTCCCTTGCTCTGCACTTTGCCCCAGGGCGGTGCCAGACCTGTCGGCAAGGCCTGCACCGCTTGCGCCACGCCTAAGACGCAGCCGGGGCATCCGGCACTCGGGACCTACGCACCACAAGGCGGCCAGGCGGCCCCGGTGACGGCGGGTAGCCGACAGCCGGGGTCTCACTGCACTAGCACGTTCGACTGCTCTTGGCAGGCATAGCATCTGCCCGTCTTGCTCAAGCTTGCAAGCGCGGCCCTGTTCCGCGAAGCTTTGCTGTCAGTCTCGCTCACTAACATGATGTTTTATGCAACATAGCGTAACGGTCCGTGAAAGGCCTGCCGCACCAAAAACTATGAATTTGTTTCATGTCTTGTGATGAATGCTGTAATGAGCAATGCCAGATGCTCTCGATACTCAGGATCGACCCCTGCACCAAAAGGCAACCGGCCAGAATAGCTACACATGCTACACGATCGTTGTTTGGCAACGATGCATCTGTTCACCTCCCTGCAATGCGACGTCTTGCGAGCATGAGATGCTTCAACGCATCAGGACGGTTGCAGCCGTTGCTCGTCGTCGTTCTTTTGGTTGCGTGTTCGGGGGCCGCTAGGCTTGCAAGGCCGGCAACAGCACTGGCAACAAAACTGGGGCGCTCAAGGCATGAGAGATTGGCCTTGCAGATCCGAAGTTTCCGAAGCCTCTCCTAGCTCCATGAGCCCCACCGCACTCATTGTCCCGCTGCCTCCTGCGTGTTCAGGCCCCTAATGCAGCCTGAAACCCAAACCCCCAAATCCCCCAACTGATGCTGTGCTGGCTCATTGCGCTTCTAGCAAGGGCTGTAGACAAGCAAGCGAGGTTCGGCAGGCAGAGGTTTGCCGGCAGAGGTTTGCTTCATTCCCGCAAATGCCTTTCTGTCATATGTCGGGTTTGCAGACTGTTCACGAAGTTTTCGAGGCAAGTGCTTTGATTGGCCATGGTGTGCAGGTCACAGTCCATCACATCACATCGCGTGCACTCCAACTCAGCAGCTGGCCACACACACCTCTCGCACACCACATGGCACGAAGAGGACGCAGGGTGCGGGGACGCCCCCTCTCTCGGGGTGGCGCACTGGGCCACGTGCTCCAGGGCCCGGTTGAAAGGCGACGTCTGCCAGATGTGGCTGCTCGGGCAACAAGGGTCGCTCGGGTACTCTCCTTGGCTGGGAGTTGTTGCGTGGAGCGACAGTTGTAGCTTCCAACGCTTCTAACTTGTGGCATGATGGGGAGATCTGCATCAGATCTGCGTCGATGCTTGGTGAGTTTAGCCCTCGCCTCCAGCATCGAGCATCTGGCCGCCATCTAGCCTGACATTTCTTAGCTGGGAGCTTGGCACGAAGCACAGGAACCGGAAGATATCCAAAGACGCACATTGGCGTCATCGACAAGATCCTTCCGGCATTGGCCCACTGGTGGTGGACACTGTGCGGACGCGGGCATCGCATGCCCCGCATGCTCACAAAGCCCAACCTCGAAGTTGATTGCGTTTCATATCTTTCACAGGTGAAAGTGAGAGTCAGGAGATTTCTCCGCCACCGCAAGCAATGCGACTGACGAGGAGCCCCAAGAGAATTGGACGGCGTCTCCTGGATGCTTCGACACCTTGTCTGCTTGGTTGTCTCCACAGCCACAGCCATTGCTTGTCTTGTGCCTTCCCATTTCTTGACACACCTTCTCGAAACACCCGAAAGTTTGTGCGCAGTCCAAGAAAGGTCTTGCTTCTCAAGCTCCGGCACTTGGCCACGACGAGCCCAGTGCAGCGAACAGTTGTCGCGAAGAACCCACAGCAGGCCACGCTGTCTCGAGCCTCTAAGCGCCCTGTCGCTCTGTCGCTGACCGAGCCATCCTGGCTGTGACTCCTTTATTCGGACTACGCTGCTTTTGCTCGAGAAGAGTTGAAAAGTTGAGATGCGCTTAGCGGGTTTTGCCAGCAGGCGCCCTTGCGATGGCAGTCGGTTTGCTCGATTTGCTAGGCGACCAGCGCGGACTCGGCGCGAGTTCGGCGCGGTTGTTGCAATGTTAAAAAGCGACTCGAGCAAGTGTACACAAAACAGCCACTGGCCGGAAACTTGCCAACTCCATTGTATCTGACTTGTGCTTGTAAAGCGGAACAGGAATTCTTGGAAGATGCTTGCTTGGCGCTGCGTTCAGGCTGCCGCCGAGTCACAGCAGGACAAGATGCCGCCAGCGGTGACGCCGCACATCTTTGCCACGTAGTCATGCCTGGATCTGCAAAGCGTTGCCGGCTGCGGAGCAAACATGCGCAAACTGTGCCGTGTCGGCCTCCCCTTGCTAACATGATGATAGCGAGGTTTCTCAGCAATGCCTAAGCCGCCATTGCCGCGGAGCTGCAATGATCAGCCGAACTCAGCACTCCCTTGCTCTGCACTTTGCCCCAGGGCGGTGCCAGACCTGTCGGCAAGGCCTGCACCGCTTGCGCCACGCCTAAGACGCAGCCGGGGCATCCGGCACTCGGGACCTACGCACCACAAGGCGGCCAGGCGGCCCCGGTGACGGCGGGTAGCCGACAGCCGGGGTCTCGCTGCACTAGCACGTTCGACTGCTCTTGGCAGGCATAGCATCTGCCCGTCTTGCTCAAGCTTGCAGGCGCGGCCCTGTTTCACGTTTCTTTCACCCTGTTTCACGTTTCTTTCATAGAATGAAGTGGGCTCGTGCAAGTTCACGTTGAAGTTCTTGCTGTCGAACTCATCGTGCGCCCAGGCCCAAGCTTGTCCCATGTTTCGAGAAATGCACGTCATCAGGAGTTGCTTAGGACTCGGACATCCGCGGCTCGCAATGCGTTCCACAAACACAGCCAGGCAAACGGCCCGTCAGGCTTCGAGAGCAACTGCATCGGGTTGGGCCTGAAAGGGCTCTGAAACTGGCTCCCCGAAGGCGCGGAAGAGCCCTCGTGAGGCCAGGCCTCGTGGTGAGGCCTCTTGCTGAGGCCTCGTGCTGATTCAGGTCAAGGCCCGGTCGCCCAGGGGAGGTGGAGATCGGTGAAAACGGTCGAGGCAGAGTGCCTTGACAGCGGCCTCTTCTAGCAGCCTTGAAATTGACCGCCTCTCTCACATTTCTCCCCCGAAACCTTCCTTCGGGCCAGCGGCCCATTTGGGACTTGGGGACTTAGCCGGCCGCAGTGTTGCAGTGCTTGTTTGGGCAGGGGCATGTGTGCCGCGTTTTGTGCATTTTGGTTACAGTAGGTGCTTGCTAGGTTCATGTTTCCGTGAGAGTGAGGGGGCAGATGGAGCATCATGTTCAGGGCAGCGACTTGCACGAAGGCAACTGACAGATTGCAGCTATCGGGTTGCGATCCTCACGTGCATCACACGTGGTGCTTCTTTGGGTTTGATTCCCACAGAGGGGGTTCCTCGGATCAGAATCAGGCCGCCCTAGACATCATCACTGTCCGCTCGCCTCTCTGCAGCTCTTCCACGTTGTGTCGGGCAGCTTTGCGAGTGACAGGGGCGCCGCCTGAGTGTGGCCATTAGATACTTCATTGCACGGCCCGATGACCACCCCTCCATGCTCTCTCCTCGGCCGGCGCAGGCGTTCTTACCCGCTCTAGGATGTAATTGGGCTGTCGCGTGACAGTTTCTAACGAAGAAGCTCAGCTCACCTTTCATTATACGAAATGCACAGCGACGTCCCGGCCACATGGCGCGCCGCGCCTTCACAGTGCTCAAAGGAGATCAGCTCTGACCCGCAGCAGTGCTTGTCTCGGCACGACCACATGGTTCAGGGCAGCGAAAAGTCAGCGGATTTATGATAGCAGCGTCTTTTCGGGTAGTGATTCCTGACAGTGCAGTACAGGGTACGAGAGGTATTCTTAAAGTGTCGATGATGTGTCAATCACAGTTGCGATTTATGTAAATTGTCGCCGCCGCCGCCGCCGCCGTCGTCGTCGTCGTCGTCCTCGTCGTCGTCCTCGTCGTCGTCGTCGTGTCAGCTAGGGTTGCTTCTCGGCGCTTTTTGCTGCTGCTGCTGCTGGCCTTGCATGCACGTCACCCGCACTGCTTGACATGGCCACATACTCTGTTTTCAGCGTGTTGTCGGCCATGCTTTTTCTTTTCTATGTATATTTCTTCTTCACTCATCCTCCTTTTCTTCTCTACTAGCTTGACCAAACCCCTGCGAGCAAGCATCGCGGCAAAAGGTACATGTTCATGCATTTTCTGCCTGTTTGAGCTCTACCTCCCGCAAACAAAAATGTAGCGACGACAAGTGCGAACAACACCCCCCCAGATCAGTCCTTGACGATCTTCGCCTTGAACTTCTCCTTGCATCCTTGTTCCTTCAAAGAGACATAGCAAGAACATTGAGTGCAAAGTTGGTCAAAGACTTTTCTTCTGATTTCCTGGGTGTGTTTTCTGAACGTATTCGACAGAAGTCCGTCCACATCATTCCACGTCGCCACGTTGCTTGTCGAGTAGAATGGTTTTACCGATCATGAGTAAGAGACGTTGCAAGAGATGTTGCAAAAGCCGAATGGCAAGACCGACTTGAGGAGTCGAAACACCCTAAGCCCTAAACCCTGAACCCTCAACCCTCAACCCTCAACCCTCAACCCTAAACCCCAAACCCTAAACCCTGCTTGCGAGTTTTGCCTGCCGCAGTGAGAGAGCGTCGAAGCAGGAGGGCCAGAAGCGGCAGATCAATAGAGTGCCGTGCAGCTCATCGCAGTGCGAACGCCCAGACCCAGATAAGCTTCAGGGAACGATTATTCGGATATGCTTTGTGTCAGATTTTTGCCATCGAGATGTTGCAGCAGCTCCTGTGGAGGTGCGCAATCTTCAGGGTTCAATTATTCAGTTCAGAAGCCTTGTAAGCCACACTCCCCTGAACAGCTTCCTAGACGTCTCCGAAAGCAAAGGCCCCAGAACCGGCGTTGACCGAGAGCCATTCATGTGGATCTCGCTGCCAAATGTGGCGTACAAGTTTTTGGCGCCCGTGAAGTCATCTTTCAGAACCAGTGGCTGTGAGCCCCTGTAAGACTCTCCTGCACCTTGCTCTGACAGAATGTCGCAAACTTCCTTCCTCAATCCAGCACGCCAAAGCCTGAGCAGGTCCCTTCATTTGTCGATGTTAGGGCCCCCTTCGATCTGCCAGGTGTTCTTGAGGTCATCTCCTTCTTTCACGCGGAGTTTGTGCCTAACAAGATCTCGAAGATTCCGAGGTGGCCGGCAGTGAGCAAAAAGTGGAGTTTGTAGCTGACCTGCGATGTGTTTCCGAAAAGGCTCGGCTCGCGAATTCTCAGGTTCTTGGCACAAGGAAGTTTCAAAGGTGAACAGCTCGGTTTGTCCAGATTTGCCATGCCGCTTGCGCGTCAGGCCAAATCGGCAAAGAAGGCGCAGGAAACACCGGATGCTCAAAAGCTGGAGAAAGCTGTGCTGCTGGCACAGCTGGAGCTTGCAAGAGCCGAACGGGCCCAAGCTGATGATAAGATCCGACGTTTGGAACAGCAGCTGTTTGGCACCGAGCAGTCCTCGGCATCGGAGTCCGAAAAGTCCGATCTTTCGGGTTCGGATTCTGAAGACCGTCAAGGGCGCCAGATGGACATGGGCGAGATGCTCTTCGAGAGGCTGCTGGAGGGATTGGGAGACGGCTTCCCCGCATCCATTCGCAAGTCCGCGCAGGAGGCAGTGAAGGATGGGCCGGAAGCAGACGAGCGATCCCGGAAAGGCTGCAACTGGATTGGTGGCATTCAGCTTGCATGGACTTCGCCGCCGACCGTGCGGAAGCTCAAGCCGCACGTTCAAGAGCATTTCCCGAGGCCAATCAAGCCTGGCGATGTCCTGAGCGAGGTCGATGGCACGCCGGTTGATGGCCTGAGTCGCCGAAACATCCTCGGCTTGCTTAAGAAGTTCAAAGGCAGTGTGGGCTTCAAGAGGGTACACCACAAGAGCCACCAAGAGGCGATCAGGGAGTCTGCCAAGGATGCCCTGAAGAGCGGTCCTGATGAGGATGCCGCGCACCGCGAGGGGCAAAACTGGATTTGGGGCTTCCTGCTGGCATGGACGTCTCCGCCAGTGGTTCGAGATGTCAGGCCTGAGGTTCAGGAGCACTTCCCGAGCCCAATCACTCCCGGGGACTTCTTGCACCAGGTTGACGGCCGGCGTGTAGAGGACCTGAGTCGCACAGAGGTCTTGAAGCTCCTCCAAAAATACAACGGGAGGATTGGCTTCAGAAGTGGCAAGGATGAGGATTTCCGCAAGTCAGCAAAGGAAGCTTTGCGCAGTGGCCCGCAAGAAGATGCCGAGTCTGGGCAGGGATGTGACTGGATTGGCGGAATTCTGCTTGCATGGACGTCTCCTCCGGTCGTTCGCGATGTGAAGCCTGGAATGCAGAAGCACTTTGAGAGGCCAATCGCTGCCGGGGATATCCTGCATACCGTTGATGGCAAGCGTGTGCACGGCCTGAGCCGCGAAGAGGTCCTGAAGCTCCTTTCAAAACACAACGGAAGCCTCTGCTTCAGGCAGGGTGATGACATGGATGAGAAGGTTCGCAGTTCCGCTCGGGAGGCTGCACGCAGTGGCCCGGAGGAAGACGCCGAGTCCGGCAAGGGATGTGACTGGATTGGTGGCATCTTGCTTGCATGGACATCTCCTCCTGTGGTTCGGGACGTGAAGCCGGAAGCCCAGAAGCACTTCCCCAAGCCGATCTCGGCTGGGGATGTCTTGCGTCAAGTTGATGGCAAGCTCGTAGGAGGCCTGACCCGTGCGGAAATCCTGGCCTTGCTTCAAGGCTTCCAAGGCAGCTTTGGGTTCCGGAGCGGTGCTGACATGGATGAGGACGTGCGCGTGTCAGCCCGCAAAGCCCTAGACCAGGGCCCCGAAGAAGATGAGCAGTCCGGCAAGGGCTGCAACTGGATTGGGGGTATCTTGCTCGCGTGGACGTCCCCTCCCGTGGTTCGCGATGTGAAGCCTTCAGTTCAGAAGCACTTTCCAAGGCCAATCACTCCCGGTGACGTGCTACGCATGGTGGATGGAGAGCTTGTGCAGCACATGTCACGTGCGGAAATCCTCCGTGCACTTGTCCACTTCGATGGCGAACTCGGTTTCCGTTCCAAGCACCCTGCTGAAATCAGCCTTGCGGATCTGCTTCGTCGCCTGGGGGATCCGTGAAGCTGATCTTCAGCGAGCTGACATGAACTGACCCTGAAGTGCCGCAGCAAAATTTGCTTCAGCTGCACGCAGGTGTGCTGTGTGATGCCATGCCGGTTCTTGTGAGCTCCGAGCCCTCATAACCTCATACATCCTACTCCGTAATACCATGAACCTTGAGACCCCAAACTTAGCAGCTGACACCAGACCTCCTGTGCACGCCCGGAGGTCATGGAGGAGCACTGGCCCTGCCCCGAGCATTTCAGAGGTTTTCGGTTCGTAGGTTTCTCAAGCTGGGGCTCCCTGATTTTGGGTTTCCGCAACGCAGATCCCGCTGAAAGGGGGTCTACCTTTATAAGGCCCTTGTATTTCTGAAAGTCGACTTCCAGCAATTTGGAACGTTGTAGACAGCAGCAACCTCAACGCAGAGGCACCGAAAAGGAACGAAGAAACCTAAGCCAAGACCCTCTCTATGCTGATCGTGATCTGCGGATCCTTCATTCCAGGCGACGACCTCCTGCCCTGATGCACGAGGCTTTGGGAGCTCAGGGCGTACAGGGCTTTAAGGAGTTTTTCTTTCGCTTGTAGCCAAAGAGCCTGCATGTTGTATATTCCTTATTCACTCGAGTGTTCGCTTCTTCGCTCGGGGTTTCGGCCACCTGAAGTTAGGGCTGGAACTGCATGCCGAGACCTTGAAGTCAGATGTACTGAGATGCTTAGATTTGGAGCAGGGGGTGTCGGGAGTACGCAGTTCTAGCTGCTTGTCGTAAGATTGTCAGTGAACAGTACACAGGGTACCAGTGGAGATGCATGTTCCAGAGGTGCATGCCCTCGTGCAAAGCGTGTGCTGGCAGGCCTTCTTGCGGCCGGACAGGCGCATCCGCGTGGCTACTCCTGGGCCTCGCCCGAAGGACAAAAGTCCGTGAGGCGTAGGTCCGTTGCATGTTGCGGTTTGCTGCGGATGTTGAAGTTTTGTGTGTGTGTGTGTGTGCCTTGTGATGCTGAAGGCATGGTTCTCCCCTCAAATAGTCACTAAACCCTAAACCCTAAACCCCAAGCCCTAAGCCCTAAACACCTCATATGTGCATCCTGCGTCTTGGCCGCGCGGGATCTTTGGCTCGAGTTCGTTCCGCCAAGCAGGTGCCAGAAACCTGTCGGAGGCGAGGGTGGCGTTCTGGGAGACCTGAGCCCTAAACCCTAAACCCTAAACCCTAAACCCTAAACCCTAAACCCTAAACCCTAAACCCTAAACCCTAAGCGCTAAACCCTAAACCCTAAACCCTAAACCCTAAACCCTAAACCCTAAACCCTAAACCCTAAACCCTAAACCCTAAACCCTAAACCCTAAACCCTAAACCCTAAGCGCAAAACCCTAAACCCTAAACCCGAAACCCTAAACCCTAAACCCTAAACCCTAAACCCTAAACCCTAAACCCTAAGCCCTAAGCCCTAAGCCCTAAGCTGCCGAGAGCGCCGCTGTCCATATGCATGGGCGCTCAAGGCTTCGACCGAGGTCCCCGACCGAGCGTCTCCACAGAACGGTGAGGGAGGGTAAAGCCTCCCGGTAGACGAGACGGCAGTGACTGGCTACGCCTCAGACCTAGGGCGTCAGCCCTAATATAATCAACCCCCTGAAACCTTTTTGGGAACTTGGGACCCTGAAACCCCCCTGGGACTCCCTGGGACCCGCCTGGGACCCCCCAAAACCCCTGTCAAACCCCCAACCTCTGTTGGGACCTTCTTGTGGGACCCCTGAAGCGCCTCTGGGACCCCCCTGAAACGCTTCTGGGGCCCCTGCGAACTTTCCTGGGACCCCAGGACCCCTCTGGCACCTTGGCCTCCTGCGAGCGCTTGTGAGGACCCTAACTGTCCCTGACACCCTGAAACCTCTGCGAATCCTGGGACCGGCCGAGGCCCCTGCTACCCCCTACCGTTTTCGAGATCCAGGATTTGCCCAGACCCGTAATGAAAATGTGGGTTTTTCGTCTTGCAATCGAAAAGCAGGGGCCGGCCGAGGCCCCTGCTACCCGCTACCTCTTTGCTGCTCTGTTGGCTACATGAAGCCCCGAGATCCAGGATTTGCCCAGACCCGTAAGAAAATGTGGGTTTTTTAGTATTGCAAATCGACGGTTTGGGGCACCCTCCATTTTAAAAAGCAGGGGCCGGCCGAGGCCCCTGCTACCCCCGACCGTTTTTGCTGCCCTTTCAAGCCCGAAAATGTGGGTTTTTGGTATTGCAATTGACGGTTTTGGGCATCTTCCATTTTACTCCGTGAAAGCTCCAAGAAGCCTACGAGCCACTGACAGGCTCCATGAAGCTCGGGAGACCCCGCCCTGCTTTTTCTCTGCAAAAAGCAAGAAAGCCCCCCTTGAGGGGGGTTTGGGGGGTGAACCCTAAACCCTAAATGAGAATAGTTTGGGTGGTTGGGGTGGGACTACATGCTAACGCAAGCGAGCTGGTGCCCTTCTATACACCCTAAACCCTAAACCCTAAACCCTAAACCCTAAACCCTAAACCCTAAACCCTAAACCCTAAACCCTAAACCCTAAACCCTAAACCCTAAACCCTACCCAGCTTTTCGTTCCAGGCATGCGCCTTCCAAGCCTTTATGTCCTGGTCACGCTGGTGGGCCTAAGCTGGGCTTGCCAGCCCGGCGATCTTTTGGAGGTGGGGAGCTCATGCCGCCCTACAACTCGCAAGGGGTGCAAGAGCTTGTTGATATCAGGGTTCAGGGTTCAGGGTTCAGGGTTTGCGGTTTAGGGTTTGGTTTAGGGCTTAGGGTACGACGGGTATGACGCATGTGGCGAGCATTGGAATCTAAACTTGAATGTCCTCTGCTGTTTCGATGCGTGATCTGTCAAGGATTGACAACGTCTTGACATGTCATTGTACTCCCAGCCCAGATGAGGTCATCCCAAGTGCGGGGACGGTGCAAGGCTCAGTTACATCCTGCAGGGCGATGGCAAGAATTCTCCTTGAGTCCCTTGATGAAGTGCGTCATTCTCTTGATTGCGAGGGTTCAAGTGGAGTTGCCGGAAAACCCTAAACCCTAAACCCTAAACCCTAAACCCTAAACCCTAAGCCCTAAACCCTAAACCCTAAACCCTAAACCCTCAACCCTAAACGCTAATGAAGCGCAAAACCCTAAACCCTAAACCCTAAACCCTAAACCCTAAACCCTAAACCCTAAACCCTAAACCCTAAACCCTAAACCCTAAACCCTAAACCCTAAACCCTAAACCCTAAACCCTAAACCTAAACCCTAAACCCTAAACCCTAAGCCCTTAACCCTTAACCCTAAACCCTAAACCCTAATGTTTTGTTAGGTCGACTACCTGACCGGCTCCTCCGACGCATTTCAGCGTCACCATTGCGATGCCACCGAAATGGCTTTCAGGTCAAAACCCAAAGAGGACATGCCAGGCAGTTTTCAGGCAGTGACCCTACATAAGTTACTTTGGAGCCTGAATATCTGAGGTGGTTGTGGCCATGAGTGGGCCTCTTCGGCTCAATCTGGATGGCATGAGTTCGGCTGGCTTGAGTAACTTGCATCTCGGAGAACTGGAGAGTGGAACAGCCAGCTGAATCTTCAGTGGTTGATATTCAGCATGCATGTATGTGTTGCTTCGCGTTTGTGACTAGTTGCACTACTTTGGCTGCTTGATTCATGCCAAATGTTGTTTCATATCCATAGCAATATCCATAGGCAAGATACTGTAGAGAGAATAGATCTCGACCTGCGTATAAAGATAAACACATACAGGTCACATTCAGCAGAGATCCTGATCCTGACGCATCTGTTGAGGTCGCGTTTTCATCTGGAAATTCGACGGCAGCCTTATCTCCGCTCGCCATCAAGGTCGGCATTCGATCCGGTTTGGCATGCGGCAGTTTCAAAGAAGGTAGTTTCCCAATTCCTGCGCCCTAAGTTTGGTAGATCCCACCTTTGACCTGACACCCACAAGAGGTCAACCCTAGACCCTTCTCTCTATTGCAAGCCCTAAGCCCTAAGCCCTAAGCCCTAGGCCCTAAGCCCTAAGCCCTAAGCCCTACCCTAAGCCCTAAGCCCTAAGCCCAAGCCCTAAGTAAACCCTAAACCCTAAGCCCTAAACCCTAAGCCCAAATCTTCAGAAACCCCAGTTGTGTGCCAGGCGCAGGTGCCGGGAGATCTGCTGACCGACCTGCAGGCCGCCCAAGTCTAGGGATGAGCTAGTTTAGGGTTTAGGGTTTAGGGTTTAGGGTTTAGGGTTTAGGGTTTAGGGTGTAGGGTGTAGGGTGTAGGGTCTAGGACGTAAGGTTTAGGGTTGAGGGTTGGGGAATTGGATGCTCAAGGGTACGGGCTTGTGGTTTAGGGTTATATGGGGGGTTGATCTGAAGGTCCTATTTGGGAAGTTGCTTAGGGAACTATGGGTTTCTGAGGGACCTCTTTGGCTATTTTGGGAACAAGCATTTTGATCAACTACCCATAGGGCCTACAGGGTTCCTTTTGGGGGCTTTCCGGGTTTCTTCAGAGGGGATGATGGAATCCTCCGCCTTGACCCCCGAAATCACCGCCTTATTCAAGCCGAAGTTTTCAAAACCAATTAGAAGTATGCAATTCTCTTCCTGGCAAGGCGGCTGGGCACATAGGTGATCCATTGCTGCTCGGATTTTTTCAGGGGGGGATGCAGAGTGTGCATATCCATGCCAGAAGCCGCACCAGAAGTGATATTTGCACAGAATTTCTGGCGGGTTTATGTCCATATGCATACATACAGTCCTACCATAGCCCTCATATACACCCTATATACGGTCTTTGCATACGTGAAAGCTTTGGTTGTGTGCTGTCTATGCCTTAGGGCCGCCTTCGGGCAGACGCTGCATTCTGGGCCGTCTGAGCTTCTTGAGGAGCCCTTTGAAGTATATGAGTATATGTATGCCACGTCCTGAGAGATGCTGAGAGGACCGAGGGGGCCAGCCGAGGTACGAGCTGAATTTCCTCAAGAGCGCGATCTGGGATCAGCAGACCTGGACTTTCACCACGAACTTCACTGTTGACATTAGGTGCGTCGCCAAGCGCAAGGGGGAATTCGCCTTCCAGCTCTTGGCTTCGGGGTAGACTTCAGTATATGGTACCCCCCCCCTGGAGAATCTACCTCCAGAGGGTGGGGGTTTAAGATACCTGTGATTTTAATTTCTTCGTTTAAGTTATTTTTTTCGTTTAAGTCACGGTTTTCGTCCTTATATATGTGTAGGATATGATTTCCTATATCATTCTCCTATATGCTGAGAGTGAGGTGTAAGTTTTTTTTATTTTAGTGTGTGTCTTGTTTATAAGCAGTTGGGTTGCTTATAAGCAGTGGGGTTGCTTACAAGCAGGAGGGGGGGAGGGGGGGGGGGTTGGGGGGGTTTCGCCCCAGGACCTCTGTGACAACCCCCCCCCCCCCCAATGAAAGATCATCCATGACCAGATACCCTCATCTTACTCAGTAGAGCCCAAGACCTGTGAACATGAAAATGTTACTGAAGCATTTGGTTAAAGAGCGAGAAGTGTACGTGAACAAGTAGTTGCCATGAAGCGCGTGGGAGCGGTATCCGGCCTCATCTCCTTGGAAAACGGTGTCTGCAAACTCGAATTGGTTCAGAGCTCCTTCACTCCAAGCACTTCGGCATCCACAGCTTCTATGCCTAATCCCTCGTCTCCTCCACCGGTCATCTCTACCATAGTCGAGGAAATCAAGAGTGGCACCCTCGAGACACATCCCACGAAGCAAGACTTGACATCACGCCAAGTCCAATCACATGTGATCTATCTCCAGCACAAGTTCTCCCTAGTACCAGGGTCCCAGGGCGGCTGGAATCAGTTGGCAGAAGATGCACTTCGCCAGTGGTTGAGAACCAAAAGGCGTGCAGCTAAAGCCAGTTCGTCAAAGCAGGTGCTCGCCATCACAGATGAACCGGGGCGTGCGTCATCACCAGAGGCTACCACATCATCGTCGTACCCCGGCCCGGGCTTATCAACGCAGCCGCTCGCCATCGCAAACGAACCGTCACCACCCTCGGCTACCACACACGAGAACGCGCCACATGATACGCCGCCGTCTCCTACCGGCCAAGGTAGCTCCTTGCTGAGAGCCAAGCTGCGAAGCGCCCAGTATGAATACTGGAATCGCAGTAAGGACTTGTGGCTGGCATGCGGAGAGATGCTCCCATGTCATGAGAATAAAGTTCTTGTCGTAGGCTTCCTTCGTCCACAGGATATGGCGTCTCGGTAGTCCATATTCTCTATCCAATCCAGACCAGCCGCGCTCGCAGGTAAAATTCACGCATCTGACATCGCAATATTTCGACCACACACAATGCCATCCATAAGATCTGAAAATGGCATCTGACATTGCAATAGTTCAACCACACACAACGCCATAAGACCTAAAAATGTAATTCTGGGAAGTTAATCTCGTGATCGTTCAACCATACACGACGCGATAAAACCTTTAAAGGTAGATTCTCCAGGGGGGGTAGCATATATATATATATATATATACATACGCACCTTATGCAATATAATATGTAAAGTGATATGCAATGTATGATATGTATATACATATATACATATACATATACATCTACGTATAGGTATACATATACGTATACACATACACATACATATACATATACATGTACATATACATATACATATACATATGCATAGACATATGCATATACATATGCATATACATATGCATATGGATATTCATTACATATACATATACATATACATATACATATACATATACATATACATATACATATACATATACATATACATATACACATACATATGCATATGCATATGCATATGCATATATATATATATACACATACATATACAAATACAAATACACAGACATATACATATACATATATATGTATGCCCAAAGTCTTCCGGGCGGTCTGTTTTTGTTTTCCAAGTAGGTTGAGGTCAGGTCCGGGTAAAGGCTTTCTCTCTTTTGTGTTACTTCTCGGTCAGTTGACTTGTGGGATTTTGGTTTGCAGCCCTTCTGCTGGATGCATGTCAGCAGTGGTCATATCGCAGGCTGACTGTTTGCCACGTTTCCGAACATGCAGATCTTGCAGCTGTAGCGAAGTGGATGTTCTCGTAGTGACCCCTCGAATTCACGAGTTCGCATTCCTGCTGAGCTCTTGGTATTAGGGTGACACTTTTTGGAGGGTGCATAAGGGGCATTATGTTGCAGGAGATTGTAGAAAAATACCCGATAAAAGCAGCGAAAGACTGGCAACTTTGGCACAACTGTCATGGGTTTCCCTACTACCTCTGTACTACCCCCCCTAGGTTGCCCCCCTCAAATAGCCTTAACTAGGACCCCTGAAGCTGTTGTGCTCCGATTCGGCTTGGCTTGGGAGACCCTAAACAAGCCCTAAACCCTAAACCCTAAACCCTAAACTCTAAACCCTAAACCCTAAACCCTAAACCCTAAACCCTAAACCCTAAACCCTAAACCCTTAACCCTTAACCCTTAACCCTAAACCCTAAACCCTAAATCCCAAACCCTAAACCCAGAGCGCAGGCAGGTGGGTCTCGACGCAGCCACTCCGAATCGACTGCAGCTGGCTTCTCGGCTGGGTGGCCTTTTTGGAAGAGTCCATTTCTTTTCTTTTTTTTGTGGGGGGGGGGGGGGGTCTCCGAAAACAGGGGGTGCCTGTTTTTGGGGTCCTTATTATTCCTACGACTTGGGGTCGACATTTGGGCCCCTCATTTTCGTCAACCCCCCCCCCCCATTTGTGGGGCAAAGCTGACGCCAGACATTCTTCGGGTTTTCTTGAGAAAGACACTTCCAGGAGCTAGTTGAGTCTTGCGGCCCCCTGACAGCAGGTTTTCGATGGGGTGAAGATGGGCGCCATCATCCGAGCTACCGGCCCGAGAAGTTCGTGATGAGGTTCAGGGTGGTCGCAACAGAGCGCAGGGGTTTAGGGTTTGGGGTTTAGGGTTTTGGGTTTAGGGTTTAGGGTTTCGGAATGACTTCTCCCAGCAGCTGAGGTTAACGGCAAAGTGCTTGGAACAGCAACGAGCCAGTTCATCCGCTACACCTACGATTTGAAACCAGAGGACTCTTTCACTCATGATGGTCTTCATGCAGCAGCGGTTTACGATAGCAAGGGGTTCCTAACATAGAACCCCAGAATTCTTGGGATCCCCCTTGTAGTAAGGACCCCCCCTTTCAGGTACCCCGAATATCGTAAACCCCCCGGCTAAATGAAGACCTGCATGGTTTGAAGTGGCAGAAGGCTTCGAATTCCACTGTTTCGGATTATCGGAAGTCCATGCATGAAAGAGCTGAAGAGTTCAGAGGAAGGAGATACACAAAGACAGCAGGTTCCTCATTCATCGCCACACTATACCTCGCCGGGTCTCATCAACGTCTCCTTGAGATTCCCACATATATGCTGAAGCCGCGCAAAGAGACCGGCCAGAAGACCAGGACCTCCGAGCGGGGAATGGCGCCAACAAGTTGGAGGCCAGTGCTCCTCTTTGTCTCGGATGCTGAAGGCGTTTAGGGAGAAATGCCGTAAGGCGGCTCGTTTCGGGAAGTGGCTCCGAAGGCCGAAGGCCATTCCAACACAACAGAAGCGCTCAGGTAGGAGGCCCTGCCCTGGCCGCTTGCCCCGCCCCCACCCCCCTTCCCCCGCCCCTACTTCAGACCCTGCTAACTTAGCATCAGGGCAATTAACAGTTCATCCACTATGTCCCTACACAACCCCAAGCCCTGACCCTGACAGTTCTTTCTCTTAACTCTAAACGATCCCAGCAGGTGGTCTTCGACCGTTCCATTCGGGTGGGGGGCCGCTTCATGGCTTGCTCCGGTGGTTGGGACTGGGCGCCCTACACCAACACCATGCAGGAGAGGGAATTAGGGTTTAGGGTTTAGGGTTTAGGGAAGGCAACAGAGTTGCCGGGGCTTATGCGGTGACCGTAGGGACATACAGGGTTCTCTTGAGGCTAGAGAAGGTTATCGGGGGGTTATATGGTGCTTTAGAGGGTTTGCGGTTTAATGTCGAACCTGACTTTGCAAGTCACGACAGCTGCCCCAAGGAGGACGCAACAACCTTCTCCTACGGCATCTGGAAGTATCGTGGCCAGACGTGGCCTGTGAACCCTTCGATAAGTTGGTTTGGGGAGGGCGTTGGTACTGTCTCGAGGCAGAGGAGTTACGATGATGTGGCAAAAGGGAATGCGAAAGACAAAATAAAGGATCGTTTGAAAGAACCGCCTCGCAGTGGCGAGATTTTCTTCGGCGGAGCATGGGTCCATAGGGTTTAAGGTTTAGGGTTTAGGGTTTAGGGTGCTTGTCTTGTGGGCCCGCATCAGATGACGCCAGCTTGACATTGCCGAGGCATGTGTACCTCATCTACACGCCTCAGGGCTCTGCATCCATCACGCACGTTGTGCCGCACGTGTTCTTCAAGGGCCTCTACCCGACGCAGGCCCCCTCTCAGGAGTTTGTCTCCTGTTTACTGAGTTTACTGTTCCTGAGACCTGGCGAGACCTAGGCACTTGTCGATGGACAGCATGCAGGCTTCACTGTCAAGGCAGGAGTTGCTTTGGGAACTTCCATCCCAAGGTAGAGTTGTGCACGCAGTCTTGCAGCTCGCTCCTGCCGCGCTCGCGTGTTCGGAAGTTGCTAGCTCTTGCCATGTTGGAGTCCAACGGACTGCTATGGATGTCTTCTGGGTAGAGCTGACTGCAACGACTGTCACGAGCACGAGGTTTCTGAACCAAAACCAAAACCAGCACTCGACGACTGCCATGTATTCATGTATTGTTAAGAATCTGCGCAGGGCATGGCATGCAATGCAATTAAGTGCGATGACAGGCTGCTCTTGCGAATGTCGCACGATGCCCTGACTTCTCTGGTAGTAGCTGCCATGTTTGTGCCGCCGACAGTGCACTAGGTTCCGATAGGTCAACGTGGTACACAGAACAAGGTTGCAGTTTCAAAGCATGGAAAGCGAGAGGTGAAGGTCTTCCTGTCCGCCCCCGCTGCCACGAACGGCACGCTAGCGCTGCTTCCCTCGTGGAGGCCTGCTGTCGTACACCGGTATGTTCCTGCGATCTGAGAACCCCAATGAGCAGGGCTTCGACTCTGACAGTTCTTGGCAAAATAGCGTACACAGCTGAGATCAGCTGCCAGTTGAGAAGACTACTGTTGAAGCCGCTCTGGTTGTAAGGTCCGCAAATATCAGCCGCAGAATCTCGATTCCGGCTGGGGGCTCGAATCACACCCTGGAGGCAGGGGGATGCTGATGGTTTTAAGGCGTTTCAAAAGCACTCGCGTCACCGGACTATCATGGCGCTCTCTCAAAATCCAGCAAGCAGGCCATCTTCACTTTTCCCCTCGCCACCCATGGAGCATGTTCTGCTTTTTCCTAGCTCCAGTGCTCAATGAAATCGTCAGCCGGACCTTGTGCATTGTTACGGCTGTTGATAGGTTCAAGCCGATGCCACCGAAATCAAGCTCTGGTGGCCCATCGGCATGGGCGGCTTGGGCTTTGAAACAAAGTTTAGGGTTTAGGATTTAGGGTTTAAGGTCTAGGGTCTCTTATGGCAGGAGTGGCATTTGCATCTGTCCCGCTTTCGCAACATGAGCTGAGGCGAACAGCCCCTGTACAAGCTGGGTGTTCAGTTCCAGGCGGGTGGACAAAGGGACGTTGCTGTGCCCCTCAGACAGAAGTCCTGGGAACACGGACTCAGCTGCGGCATACGTTAACTGGAGGGCGACGGCCAGACGGTGCCGGTGACGCAAACCAGCCGAAGGATTGGCTTCAGGCCCCTTGAATCTTGTTATGTCGGCTGGAGATGGCTGTAGCTTGCCGATTGGGTTGGGTGTGGCGTGTTCAGGCCTTGGCAAGTCTTCTGTGGGATATCTTTTGCTGGGTTGCCGCTGGATGTGCTCGCTGCGCAGTTGCGTATCGTGCCAGAGTCCGGTGTCCGAGGCGTAGACAGAGAGAGAGAGAGAGAGAGAGAGAGAGAGTGGCCGGGGGCTCCTCTCACGAGGGGTCCTCTTCGCTGGGTAGAAGAAGAAGACAGAGAGAGAGAGAGAGAGAGAGAGAGAGAGAGAGACAGAGAGAGAGAGAGAGAGAGAGCGAGAGGGAGAGGGAGAGGGAGAGGGAGAGGGAGAGGGAGGGAGAGAGAGAGAGAAGGAGGGAGGGAAGGAAGGAGAGAGCAGAGCCATGGATCTCCACTTAGCGTGTGAGCCTACTGCCCTTCACCGAGACTGTCAGCATGCACAACAAAGAGCCTTGTGAACCTACATGACACAGCAATGAGAAAGCTGGGAGGAGCCCGAAATCGTCTCTTCTGCACAGCCTGTCTCAAGGTACTTTGCACTGGTCACGGGCAATGACACCGATCCAGCTTATGTGGCGAGGGCTTCCACCGAGGACGCGTTGACGGTGGGCTCGGCTGCTGTAGCTACGAAGTGATGCAGCTTCTTCGGGTTGGGACGATGACGCTGTGGCCGCTGTCTAGGTAGGCAAGTGCTCAGACATGTTATTGCCTGCGGCCTGCGCCAAGAACAGCACATCTTCGGTCTTTGGTGTGAAAAGAACCAGTGCATTTTGCCCCAAGTACTTGGAACCCCAGAAACAGTCTCAACATACGGAGGCGGCCCTAGCATATCATTAAAGAAAAATGCTGTAAGGGCAACGTGCTTTCAGGGCTGGTCGCTCACCAGCTTTCGAAAACTCAATGCCAACCAGGTGCTGATGTATGTACTATAATATCGGGGTGACTCATGGCACGCTCCGTTTCAAACAATGCTGCGACGACGGCGCTGTGAGACACGCCCGTAGCAAAGGTGCCGGTAAGCACAGGTAAGCGCCAGCCACAGATTGCGAGTCGACCCGTGCGCCTGCTCTGTCACACCCATTTGTATTGCAAAGGGAGCAGGATACTATTTGTGTGCTTGGTTCGTAGACTCCGAGAGTTTGTCTTCAGGATATGTTGCGTCACTCAAAAGCCCACGCCCTTCAGATTGGCCAGGAGGGAACCGAGTCCATGGGAATGTACTTCCGCATCAATGGTGCAGCCTTTTGGTCTAAAGGTGCCGGGACAAAGCTGAGGCTGTGCACTTGTGGATTCCACTTCAGGGCGCGCAACACCCCCGATCACGTGGCCAGCCCCTTTACGGCCGGAGGGGTTGGATTCCAATAAGCTGTGCAGGTGCCAATGTGATACCCATGGAGGACTTGTGGCCTGGGTAGTCGGGAAGGTGAGTGAGATCATGGACCTGCAGATTTTTTTCTGGAGGAGTGATTCAGGAGTCTTCCTCCGGTGGTTTGCCAGGGAAGTTGTTAACCAAGAGAGTAGCACTGAATGTCCATGTTAAAGTAGCGGGTGCTTGCATGCCGCGCGAACTTGACCCATAGATCCATCTCAAAGCATCCCATGCATCGCAGGCAGACGACATGCGTATATTGCCCCCTTCACTGCAACGCCACCAGAACCTGACTCAAGCGAGCCAGACGATCCCTCCGGGCTGTCCTCAACTTCGCCCAGCGATGGGTTTCTAGGAGCCCAGTGGTTTCGATAGCAGGAGCTCGAGGGCCGGATGCTTGGGGAGGCCCATCGCGTGATGGTTCGTTCTGCTGCCCATGGAGGCCTGGGAATGTCTGTTCTTCCTTTAAAACAAAAGATGAACGAACCGGGTGCAGACCTTGTAATAAGCCTAAGGCTGAATGCTCTGGAGTTGGATCAACAGCAGTTGCATGAGCAGGTATGAACACACTCCGAGTTTGGGGTGGTGGGATCTTTCTCCCGGACGCAGCTTCCCTCTGAATTAGGTTGGCACCGCCTCTTTCGGACCATTGGGGAGGCGGGAGGTTAAGGCGCTTGTGCACCGTGGCTGTGAGGGATTCGACGTAGCCGCACGCTGGCGGCTGTAAGGATTTTGCTTTTGTAGTTTGGGTGAAGAGCACGAGTTTTCTGCGCCAGAACCAAGGAGTTCTACGATGCCTGCGACGAGCTCGGGCTTCTGGCGCCTCAGTTTGAAATTTTGAATGTTGGAAGCTACTGAAATAAACCCTAAACCCTAAACCCTAAACCCTAACCCCTAACCCCTAACCCCTCAACCCTCAACCCTCAACCCTAAACCCTAAAGAGTTGCTTCTTGGGTGTTCCTGTTTGCCCAGCAGCTTGTTTTCCTAGAGAACCCCACGCCCAAAAGCTAGGTCTTCCATGACATGATGTATGCGCAGCTGGGCCACGCGCCGGAGAGGACCTTTTCAGGGTTCAGGGTATGGGGTTTTGGGTAACAGAGGATGCAGAGCTCTGAGGACACATCCCACTCTGGATCAGACTTGTTGCGAGGTCCGTCCAGATCGGCCTTCGGGCCAGACCCACCTGAGATGGAAATGATGTTTCGCGGGTCTAGGACCACGGTATCGGACTCGAATCATCACACGTCCGACTGATGCTTGAAGAGAGGACAAGCGTGCAAGACACGGAGCTGAGACACCAGGCGGATGTGTTGTGTCTGCATCCTTCGGACTGCTTTGCAAGTTGTGGGCGTCTTGTAGAGACAGGCCCCCAGTGTTGTTTCAGTAGAAAGAGTCTTGGACTTCGAGGGGTAGCCGAGATTTGTTGCATGTCTGTGCTGTGTGGTCCTCCCAGCAAGATCTGGTCGTACCGAGACATCTTGGGCAGGTGCGGAGGCTATCCTCGCATCCTTCGATCGTGATCTGGGACGGCTGCAACGAGTGTACTGCGGCTTGCTTGCAGGCGTATCCTCAATCCTAGCCCTGAAGCCCAAGGACTCGAAATGGTATGAGTAGACCTGTGCAGGTCACGCCTCGCACTTCGTACTTGAGGATTTAGGAGCTACAGTAGGGCTGCCAGAAACCCAGCCAAGCTCTTGTTCGTCTTGTTCTCAGGTCACTATGGGTAGCCCCACAGAGATCTACGCCACCTTTGTGATGACCGTAGTTGCGGAGGAGGTGTCCAGGGTAAGGGGCGCTCTGTCACACTTTGATTTATCTACTGTGCGTTGGGTGTATGGGGTGCGTCATATCCGTCCTCTGTGAAGGACAGCTCCCGATCGATTTGGCCCTCCTGCCCTGCTTTTGGCTGGTCGACGGGATCCTTGGCTGTCACCGTCCGTTGTCGGTCTTCTCTGTGTTGGACTCCGAACTCTGTGGGTGCTTGCCGGTGCACCTGCAACAACGCCTCCTTCTTTGGACGTGACGTGCATTCTTGGGATGCTCAACTCCCCTGATTCCCTCCGCAAACCTAAACCATCCTAAACCCTAAACCCTAAACCCTCAACCCTCAACCCTCAACCCTCAACGCTCAACCCTAAACCCTAAACCCTAAACCTAAGCCCTAAGCCCTAAGCCCCTAAACCGAACAAGGAGTACACAAGCTGGACAGCTTGCCGAATGGGAATCCGCTGACGACACCCGGGACTGGCTGGTGTCCATGTCCGGGATTCGTGATTGGGGTCAGGCTTTTTGGGTTCAGGGTTTAGGGTTTAGGGTGTAGGCAGATCTCTTAGGAGGTGATGGCCTTCTGATGCAACGCCCTACACCCGAAGCCCTAAACCCAAATGCCCGCGGAGCGCTAAGTTTTTGCATCCTAAGCCCTAAACCCTAAAGCTGGAGTCTTCTACCTTGGGCCAGCAACCCTAAGTTTTCAACCCTAAGCCCTCTAAAGCCCTTTGCCCTAAACTCTAAACCCCAAGCCTGGAGTCTTAAATGCCTTGAGCCAGGAAGTCTCGGACGATAGAGGTGCACGGCTACTACCAGCACGGCAATGGACCTCCAGCTGCATGAAGACGTAGGCGTACCAAGTTTGGCAGACCTTTTGGAGGGAGGGTTCAGGGCTTAGGGGCTTAGGGGCTCAGGGGTTCAGGGGCTTAGGGGCTCAGGGGCTTAGGGGCTTAGGGGCTTAGGGTTTAGGGTTCAGGGTTTAGGGTTTAGGGTTTAGGGTATGTCAACTGCTTCTTCTCATCTGCAGCGCATCGCATGCCTGAAGCCTCAGCTTCTCTTGAGGTTTCCCAGCCATGAACGGCGAGATCAAGATGTATCCGTTCAAGGCGAACATCCCGATCAAGGTGCGTACTGGTACCGAAAGGATAAGAGATCCTGCCTTCGTCAAACCCTAAACCCTAAACCCTGAACCCTAAACCCTTAACCCCAATTCTAGAACTAAAGCTAGAATCTTCAATGCCATAGTCTTGCCTACTTTACTGTACGGCTTGGATACGCTTACGCTGGAAATTAAGCACCTAAAGACCATAGATGCATGGTACCACAGATATCTTCGTAGAGCACTAGGAGTCAAGGACTCATATTATTCGCACATCTCGAATAGACGGGTATGGACGCTAGCGGGCCGGCCCACGCTACCATCCCAAATTCTGACCTCTGCCCAGTTAAAACAATTGGCAAATAGCTTGGCTACACCGCCTAACAATCCGGTGCACCATGTAGTCTACTCTCCGGGTTGTAAAGATAGGATCAAATTCACAAAGTCTTCACACAGAGGACATCCCCAAAGATATTGGCTGGAACTCAGTACTGAGTATGCATTACCGGTGCTTAAAGAATATATAAGGCTAAACCGCATAAACACGGAGGAGCAAAGGCAAGACTTCTTAGGCCTCAAACACCTCCTTAATAGGGACCCCCTCTTCCTGTCTTTCCTGGAATCTGCGCCGACGCGCTGCCCCCACTTGTTCAAAAGACACGCCAAAGCACTTGCATGCGCATGGCTGCCATAAAAAAAAAACCCGTAACCCTTAAACCCTTAACCCTAAATTTAAGAGCCTCCGGCTCAAGCCACCGACCCCGCAGGAGAACAAGTGTAGTGGTTTGGGTTTGCGGTTCAGGGCTTAGGTCCTGATCTTTGGGGCCGCGGGGGGGGGGGCGGGGGGGGGGGGGGGGGGGGGGGGGGGTTGGGGGGGTGGGGTGGGCTTTGGGGGGGGGGGGGGGGGGGTGGGGGGGGGGGGGGGGGGGGGGGGGGGGGGGGGCTCGGCAGACATCCCTACCTAAACCCTAAACCCTAAACCCCAAGAGAGCTGTGCAGGTCTCTACTGAGTCTACGGGCCTGGATCACCCGAACATCTTCGCCTCGGACCGGGGCTGTCCTTGAGCCTCCCTTCGGATTTCCTGAGCATCCAACCCGGTTTAGGGTTTAGGGTTTAGGCCCTTCGCTTTGAGCATTTCGAGGCGTGCTCCTCATGCCCCAAAAAACCCTAAATCCTGCAAGCGTCCCTGGCGCGAGGAGTTCGGCGCTGTAGTGATGTCCTCATTCGATGCTCGAAGCAAGAAGCAGAAGTTCAGAGGCTCAGGGCTTAGGGTTGGGTTTAGGGTTTAGGAATTCGGGTTTTCGGTTTAGGGTTTAGGTAGGGGTTTATGGTTTAGGGTTCAGGGTTCAGGGGTCAGGGTTTAGGGGTCCTCTCCTGCACGTGTGTCAAGCAGGGTTCAGCGAGACCTTTTCCAAGGAGTCGATGGCGCCGACCCTGGCGCCTGAGCATTGGGGTCTTCATGGTGGCCAACAGAGCGCCGCCCAGCCGTGTTTCAATGTCTACCCTTCCGTGACCAGCGAGCTCTGCTCCTTCGGTGCTGTTTGCATGCGAGTCGACTTGCTAGTTAGTCCCTCCACATCTCTGTGTCTGTCGTGCCGAAGACTCGCCTCCAGCTGCACTTGTGAGTGCGGGGAAGCGAGCAAGTCGATGTTGGAGTGTCAGCTTTCGGTGGAAGAGTGTGCCCCTACACCCTGAACCTCCCTGAGGTCGTTCAGGGTTTAGGGTTTGGGGTTTAGGGTGTAGGGTTTAGGGTTCAGGGTTTAGGGTTTAGGGTTTAGGATTTATGGTTTCGGGTTTAGGGTTGAACCCAGAACCCCAAACCCAAAAACCCAAAACGCTATATCGGGTTCTGGTCTCCTGGGGGCTGGACCTAAGGACACCTGCGAGTACGATGTGCATGTGGTGGCCCACAACCAGTGCCAAGGCTCTGCGGGCTGCTGTCATTTCTCAGGTTCTTTAGGCCGTACCCACCCTTTTCTGGGTGCCTAGACCCAGAACTACACCCGACAGCCATTACCATCGCTTGGACTTACTATGCAAGCCTAAAGAGTTGTGTTGAGCGTGAGCTGCACCCCCAGTACCGGTGCAGTACCCCGCCTGGGGTACCCCGCCTCCCTTCTCCGATTTTCAAGTAACCCTCAAGCTGGCGACCCAATACGAAAACGGGCTTCCCCCCCCCCTGGGCCCCCTGGCCCCCTGCCTGGATTTCTGGCCCCGCATTCTGGCCCCGACCCTCCTCGCCTGACCCCCTCACACCCCCCTGATTGTGTTGGGGCGCCATCTCTGCATGAAATTTACTGCGGCAACGCTGCGAGAAGCCCTAAACCCTAAACCCTAAACCGCCTAAACTCTAAACTCTAAACCCTAAACCCTAAACCTTAAACCCTGAACCCCAGCTTTCGCCGAAGCCGGAGACAGGAGAACATGGGGAAAGGGCGCTAGAGAAGATGACACAGGAGCTGCCCAAGCAGATGGCTTCTGTAATTTGGGCTGTTGCAAGGGAGAGTCGGAGATGGCCTCTCAGCATCTGGTTTTAAGATTCCTGTCACGCATACGGGTGCATTAACCCTAAACCCTAAACCAAGAGCCTGGAGTAGGCTCCAACGTCATGGCACAGCGGAACTACCCCTGCGACAATCTAATCAATGCGTACTTCGGACTCTTGGCTGAGCTGCTGCAGTTCTCCCGGCTGAGAAAGTTCATTTAATAAAGATTTGGGGCTTCAGCTGGTTTAGGCTTTATTGGATAGGAGCTCCGACTTGAGTGGAATGCTGATCACATGTGCGACCAGTCGGAGTGCTTTGATACTTGCCACCAGTGAACCGTCGAAATGGGAATGTTGCAGCCTTCTTAGAGGTTTGAGCTCGAAGCCCTAAACCCTAAACCTTAAACCCCGAAACCCTAAACCCTAAACCCTAAACCCTAAACCCTAAACCCTGGTTCTCTGTCGACTGAGGTGATCATCCGGATAGCTATTTTAACATGACTGGAGAGGCCATCTTCAAGCAACAGCTCTACCAATGCATGCTGTCTCAGGCCGGCCTTGGGTGTAGGTTTGAGGGGGTTTTAGGGATTAAGGTTTAGGATGTTTAGGTTCTTAGGACTTAGGGGTCGCTTTGCGTGCTCGACCAAAGATTTGAAAGGGCAAAGGCCACAGGGGTGGCAGCTAGAAGCAGCTTCTTGCAAGTTCCGTGTTGGCAAGTGTCCTGTGTTTGTTCCTTGCCTGGACGAAACTTTGACAACACTCTGTAGAGACGAGATGACATTCTCCACTCCAGCCGTGAGCGGAGGCGTTGATCCTGAAGACAGACATCGAGACCAGGTCATGACGGCATATGATCATCGGTGGTTATCCATGAGTTTTATGTGCGTGATTGCGATTGTGATTGTTCTTGTTGTCGTCACGATGAGGGGTTTCCAAAAAATGGGGGGGGGGACCTCTAATGTAGCCCCCCACATAGTAGGACCCCATTAAATTAAATAAAGACCCCAATAAGGTACCCCCAATTTTCGGAAACCCCCATGATGCCTAAACCCTAACCCCTAACCCCTAAACCCTAAACCCTAAACCCCAAACCCTAAACCCTAAACCCTAAACCCTAAACCCTAAACCCTAAACCCTGTTAGTTGGCCTTGTGGAACCCGTTCCATCCTGGGAGAGGCGCTCTGCGAATCAGTTCGGATGCCTGGTCTGGCAGCTCAACGAGATTTGGCCCACAGGGGGCTGGGGCCCTCTGGCTGATGTTAGGGTTTAGGGTTTAGGGTTTAGGGTTTGGGGTTTAGGGTTTAGGGTTTAGGGTTTAGGGTTTGATGTTTTTGCTTCAGGGCATGTGTTTTTTCATCCCGCAGCTTGTGCTGCAGACCCATGTTGTATGTTGTGACACTGTCTGAGGTTCCCTGGAGCCTCTTGGCTACAATCGGGGCAGTTATGAGTATAGAAGGTAGTCGAAGAGGTCGGTTGATTGAAATAACTTAGCACTACATGAAAGACTTGACAGGTGTGCTTGCTGTGTTGCTGCCAGCGCAATCCCGCTATCTTTTGGTAGTGTGACAGCCCTGGAAACACCGATACACCCACCATACACGCGGCGATGTGCTCTTTACCCCACTACTGGGAGGGGCACAAGTGCGCCATTGCAAGTGCCCTAAACCCTATATAAACCCTAAACCCCAAACCCCAAATCCCAAACCCCAAACCCCAAACCCTAAACCCTAAACCCCAAACCCTAAACCACAAAAGATGGGCGAATTGGTTGCATTTGAGCTTGGAGCGGACAGGCCCCACGGCCTGCTGGGATGTGTGTATTCGGTATAGGCGAGCTCGAAGCAGCCGCCCTGACTATATCCCCATGCCTCCTGCTGTCTGGAGTTAGTCGCGGTAGCAAGGCATGCAGAGTGAAATTCCTTGAGAAGTCCTGTTCCAGGTATGGCACCCCGGTGAAGGGCCAAGTCCTTGGAGGGCGCTGGAAGCCTTTGCACTACTTGTTCAGGCTCGTCGAGTCTTGAGGGTTAAGTTTTGGGATGTTACCCCTTCTGCTAGCAGTCCTTAATGGGGATTATAGTACCCCCTTTGTTAACAAACCTTATTCAGGACTGTTAGATGTTCCCAAATGAAGTTAACCAAACATGTAGAGCTGAAGGGTTGAACAGTGATGAATGCCGTGACTCTCTTTCGGCTGCTTGTGTTTGCTTACTTCTGTCTTTTGCAGTCCTTACCTCTAAGACATAATCCAAGAAACACTAAGCCCTCAACCCTAAACCCTACACGTGCCGGCTGCCCGTTTGTGGGAGTCCAACAGAACCCTGCACCCTGCACCCTAAACCCTACACCCCAAACCCTAAACCCTAAACCCCAAACCCCAAACCCCAAACCCAAACCCTAAACCCTGCATTGGTTTCCCTGAGCTTCAAACCCAATCGCCCTAAGTCCAGAAGCCCTGTGCTGCAGGCGGTCTCTTTTCGCCGATGTCATGGCGACCTGTGGGTTAGATGGTCAGCCCTCGGGCTGTTTCAGAGCCCTACACCCTCAAGCCTACACCCTAAACCCTAAACCCTAAACCCTAAACCCTGAACACCTGATTGGTGGCGCAGCTCTGTTACTCTCTGTGGCCTTTTCCACGGAATGTGTTTTGCAATCAGGTTGTGCACGAGCCCAGGTGCTATGTCAAGAACGACAGCCCGCGACCCTTTTGGGGCTCCTTGGACTGTGAGCAAGGATGCAGGGTTTGGGGTTTAGGGTTTCGGGTTTAGGGCTACTTAGGACTTAGGATGTTGATGTGCCCGTAATGTTCAATCCCCGCCTATTTTCGCAGGTGTTTGTTTCTCAGTTGTCAGAAGGCATGCCAGTTCGGGGTTCCTTTGCCTACCGTTGCTCTGAAGGGGTTTAAACAAGCTTCTTATGGCTTACTTTTGTACTTTCCATTGCCGTTTCGCCTTCAGAACACAGCCTCCTCACCGTTTGGCCTTGGCTTAGTGTAAGCCATGTCTCAGCAGCTGTCAGTGGCCGAGGAATGTGCTCTGTGACTGCTTTGTGACTCGGTCGCATACGTTTGCATCAGTGTCTGCTTGCTGGAGTTCCAGTGTTCTCGCTACTCGCAGGTTAGGATGTTGCTTTGCTGCCACCCTCGGCTCGAGGGCAGCAAGGGAGGCAAGAGGACAAAGTGATCCGGGAAACAAGACGGCGGATAAGTATACTGCGGGCACGCGGAATCAAGAGGAGATGACGAAGAGACGTAAGAGACAGCCATATAGCAGTAGAAAGGGGAGACAAGATACATGCTCAGCTTTCTAGCTTGCTGCCAGTTGTGGGAAAAGATGATGAAAGCAACTGAAGAAGCAACTCTGCAATCGGGCACGCCGCGTGATTGCAAGACTCTGACAGCAAACAAGAAGCAAGATATTGGTTCTTCAGACACGTCTACAAAGAGTATCCAGTTGCAATTTGCAGGACATGTCTTCAAAAAGTATCTTATCACAGATTCGCATGGGGTTGGCAGAGATGGGACCCGAGCAAGAAGCATACTGCATGACGCGCTTCCTGGTTCAGATCGCGATGTGCGATTGAGGGTTTAGGGTTTAGGGTTTAGGGTTTAGGGTTTACGGATGTATTCCAAGTGGTTGAGTGCCGTGCACGAGATCCCATATGATCTGAACACGGATGCCACAAGCCGTTAGCTTGCATTCGCCCCTTTTTTGGCAGTTTAGAGCTTGCCCCCCAGGCATTTCGATGGCCATCAAACTGGCCTGTTCTGGTTGGGCTTTGATCTGCCACAGGGGCCGGGGGTGAAGCAGCTCTTCAAGGCGCGAGAGTTGTGCAGTCGTGTTGATCGTCATGGTTGGCCAAGGGAGGGGGCAGTCTTTCTGGGTACCCTGAGAATCCGTATGGGAAGCCTGACAAGGGCCAGGATTCTTGAACAGCCTGATCCCTAAACCCTAAACCCTGAACCCGAAAACCTAAACCCTAAACCCTAAACCTTAAACCCAAAGTTGCCAAAGGTGAACGTCTCGAATATGAACGGCGCTGACTACATTCTTCGGTCAGAATGCTGGCCGACGGAAGTCCGCGAACAGGGGCTCCTTGTCTTACTGGTATTTGAAAGAGAGAATACCCTGAATCATCCCTTAAAGGGTATATATGGGGGGTTTACGAAAAGAAGGACCCCTAATATGCACCCAAGTAGTAGGCTTCCCGTATCATCAGGACCCCAAGAAGGTACCCTAATTTTGGAAGCCCCCATGTGATGGGGATATAACTTGCGTAGTTCCTTCATTCCCTACTGAGAACCATCGGGTTGTTTAGATGAGAACTCGGGTTTCTGGGATGCAGCTGCTGGTGGGTTCCGGGTTTGGGTTTATAGGGTTTAGGGTTCAGGGCAAAAGGGTGAAGGGTGTAGGATTTAAGGTTTAGGGTTTAGGGTTTAGGGCTCATACCTCGTTGGCTTGATCTCGTGGCCCAGGCATGCTATCACAGCCTTCGGGGCATCGATGGAGAACGTCGTGACCTGGAGCGGTTTAGGGTTTAGGGTTTAGCGTTTAGGGTTTAGGGTTTCGGGTTTAGGGTTTGGGGTGTAGGGTTTAGTGTTTAGGTTGTAATTAGGGTGTAGGGTTTCGGGTTAAACCTTCCTTCCGGTTCGAAGCAGGTGGAAGATCAGGGCCGCGCCAGTCCCCGGCTCCCAATCCCAAGTCTCCTGCGAAGGTCTCTTTCAACGAGATCCTGATGGCCACGGCCCTACTTCCACTGGCTTTAGTAGGAAGTGAGGGCAGGAGAGCCGTAGGTGTGAGGCATCTTTTGCAGGCTTATCGGCTGTTACAGTAGTAGGCTGCAAGTAGTGATTCCCCCTCTCCCCCCCCCCTCTCACCCCCCCTCCCGCCCCCCCCCCTCCCCCCCACCCCACCCCCACCCCTCACCCCTCTCCCCCTCCCCCCTTCATGTACTGGTACAGGAATATCTCAAAGTTGCGGTCTTGACAGATGTTTTGAGATTCCTGATGAACCCAGTTTCTGTTCGATTCCTTGCCTTAGCTCGCATGTCTTCATTGCCTGTGACTTCATGTGCCCCTTTTGATTGAAGCCCCACAAAACAACGCCCTGGGGCTCTGCCTGGGCTGTTGGACCCTGCTGAGGCACGGCCAGCAGATCTACGGCTTCCAGCAGCCAAGGTTGAGGGTTTAGGGTTTAGGGTTTAGGGGTTTAGGGTTTAGGGTTTAGGGTTTAGGGTTTAGGGGCATATGCGAGATTCATATCATGGTATAGGCAGAACATTGGAGCAGTTGTGACTATGACTTGTGCCAGCAGCGTTGAGTCAATGCAGTCCCGTTCTTTTCGGGGACTCCATCCTCTACATCTTTTGTGTAACTTGGGTCATTCTGTAGAGTCGTCTAGGTTTAGGGTTTAGGGTTTATGCATGCCGCCTTGTGGACGGTCTCTCGAAGTCTGGATGCTTCTGAGCATACGCAGGGCTACGTTATTGGGGTCATTGTCCGCAGTCAGACCAGACACCGTCGTGGATGCCTGATATTTTGGAAGCACCAGCTTAAAGGACGGTCTTTGGGCGCAGGTCTCTGCGACCGTGGCGCCATCTCCCAATGAGGACGGCAGCATTGACATCTTGCTGACGGCAGAACCTCGCAGAAGGAGTTGCCGAGGTGCTGTTCAGGAGGATCTTACAGTTTGCAAGGATGTGCTGAATACATTCACATATTCTTATAGTTCTATATCACTATACTGGTAGATTGTTATGAAAATATATTATTTCAATAATTTTTATACTGTTATATTGTTATATTATTATTCTATATTCTTCTATTCTTATATGCTTGTATTCTTATATTCTGATATTCTGATATTCTGATAACCTTATATTCTTAGGTACTTATTTCCGTATATTCCTATACTATGAATATAATAAATTACATTGGATTACATTATATTGTATTCGTATTATTGTGTTGATATATTCTTACGTTATTACAGTTTTTCATTATATTGTTCTCTTAATTTATCATTGTGCTGTTTTTCTAGTATATATTTATACGACTAGATTAGATGCCGATATTCTTTTGCTAGTATATCAATAGGTTCTTCTAGACTATATTCCATTCATCTATTAACATTTTATTCTATTATTCGATTATTGCATTTTTCAGTTCTCTAAAATTTGTAGATCTTTTTCTTAGTATGGGAATATGCTTTGTGTGTTTGTGTGTGTGTGTGTGTGTGTGTGTGTGGGTGTGTGGAGGTGTCAAGGTTCGGGATGCGGCCTGGCCGGTGCACATGTTGGCTTTGCCTTATGTAGGGCAGAGCACCAAGGACAACACTGCATTGCTGCGTGGTCTGCATCTAGAAGGGCTTCAAACCCTGTTCCCCCCTGAATTGAATAGGGATTATAGTACCCCCTATTCTCATCCTTATGAAGGAATAAGGGGAACATCCCAACGTGAAGCACAAACCGGCTCTCGGTGAGATGCGAGGTTCGTCACTTTGACGACCTTGGCGCATGGGCGATTCAGCGACAACGCCTTTGCCATGCCTCCGGGGAAGGGCAAGGCCCGGGGCTTCACTGCGCTGTAGTTGCTTACGGAAGCAAGAGATGGTGGTTCCCGAAATTATGGGTAACTTTTTTTGGGGGTCCTTATTATAAGGGAATCCTACTATTGTTTTTGTTTTAGGTTTTCGTAAACCCGCAAATGTCTCACATCGATGTCGGAGGTGCAATTTCTTCCTTTTGGGATGCCTGGAGCTCAGTCCACCCATCCTTTGGGGGCAGCTGAGATAACTGAGCGCCACGCCTCTTGCACGCGAGCCTGAGGCTGGACCACGCACTGTTGCAGAGCAGCCTGCGTGTGGAGATCCCTGGCTGGGAGTGTGGGGGGGAGGGCCGACAATTTACCGTAGTCTTGCCCTAGTTCTTTTCATCGCCTGTTTCTGGGGATTTCCGTCTGAACGACTGAAGGAAGGTGAGAAGGAAAGAAACCCCCGAACCGTTAACTGTAAACCCTAAACCTCTACAATCGGTACGGAGCCCTGAACCCCAAACCCCTAAAGCCCCTAAACCCCGCTCCTAAACCCTAAATCCTAAACCGGGACACGACCAACATCAAAAAGGGTGGAGAGAAGAGACACAAAACCTGCGCTCGCCTTTCCCAAGCTTGAAGTTGCAGGGCCTTCCTCGATTTGTCTCACGAGAGTGGTATGGCGAAGGCTGTGGAACCCCCAAAGGGTCCCTTTTTTGAGGGGATTCGGTTGTATTAAGGGGCACCTCTATTCCGGGAAATGCCCGTAGCAGCCTCCCACTCTTCCCGGTGGCGCCTGGCGACTCTGAGGCATCTTCAACCCTACCAGGCTCGGAGGAGCGAGAGCATCTACGTGTGAGGTGGCCCGGGAAACTCTTCATCTCCTCACATGCAGTGAGAAAGAGAGAGGCTTCCCTTTTGGAGCGCCTTTGAAATTCATGGTGGGAGCCACTCTGCTACATGTGCTACACACCGGCACAAGCAAGCCGAACTCTGAAGACCTCAGGCCTAAATCCGGAACCCGGAGCCCTAACCCCCGAATGGGGATTTCCGAAATTCAGGGTACCACATTGGGGTGCTTATTTTAAGGGGATTGTTTGTGGATCAAAATTGGGGGTCCCCTATGTTCGTAACCCCCTAAATCAAGGTGGGGATTTTCTCCCCGCGCTGGGATGGGGGCTCACTCATGCGGGTTGTTGATACCTTCCAGAAGTATTTCAGTACAAGGGCCCGTCGATACTCTTACAGGTCACAAGAAGGAGGGGGACCCCAAAACAGCCTAAACCCTAAACCCTAAACCACTCTACACCCTAAACCCGAACCCTAAGCGTGGTGAGGACATTAAGACCTTGAGAGTGTGGCTCTCGCATGCTCCTTTTCTTGCGACCCGTTCGGGGCAGTTGTAGCTTACTTTTCCGCATCTGCGGCTCTTGTGTTTCAACTGAAGAGGGTTTAGGGTTTGGGGTTTGGGTTTAGGGGCTCTTACTGTCTTCGTCTAATGTGGCTTCTCTTTGTCCGCCCCTGGAAACCCCTGGCCCGAAAGCGCTTTCGCGCCCGGGGGTTCCGATAGGCACCAGGTGCCTGGGCCTCGATTTCAAGGTTTCATGCTCTGCCGCTTGGGCAGATCCCGAACAGCGCCGTTTGTCCTTGCGCTCCCATGCATGCGTGGAGGTCGTGGATCTTTGCGGACTTCAAGCAACGCAGAGAAATTCCGGTCCGCCCGAAGCTATACCCTCTTTCCCCTTCCCCCCGAGAACCCTAGGGCCCTGGAAGGGTTGAAAGGACAGAAGCTACGGCGCCTCTTCAGAAGCTTCTTTGAGAGACCTGCCACCTCCCAGCCTTATGGCACCTCTCCGTCTGGAAGCTGTTGTTCAAACGGAGAGCTTCGCACGCCCCAAGTCGTTTCATGCAAGACCACCCGCCAGCCCGAAGCCCACCACCTCAAACAACTCTCCACTATTAAAATACATGTTGTAGATGAGGCAGCTATACAAATAAGTGTATATATGCATATACATATACATATATATGTATATAAATTGCAGGTTTGGGATGAGAGAGACTATGCAGCCGCCCCTGTCTCCCCTTTGGCACCCGTTCTGCCCTCCGCCTCAATCGCCGCTCCATGGCTGATGGCGGGGCGTGCGGGCGCCGTCCTTGCAGCCCGCCGCCGCGGCGCCGGCTACGGGCGCGGACGCGGTCGGACAGCTTAATTGGGGGACCCAAGAGCGTCTGGCGTCTGGAGAGGGGTGGTTGTCTGGGTAGTTATGGGCGTCTGGATAGGGCTGGGGCAAGTGAACATCGCGTTCTAAACTTCTTGGGAGGTTGGTAAGTTTGCGAGTCTGTGGCCGGTGGCTGCAACCAGAATTCGATTCTTGGGTTTTTGAGGGTGGCGTAGAGAAGAATTCCGGGAACAGCTGCAAGGCTTGTGCCGGATGGCAGGTTGAGAGTTTGGCAGCCTTTGGGCACTTCATGACAGAATCGTTTGGTTTGATAGAGACCATGATGCTCCGCCCAGCCCCCCCTTCAGAATGCAAGACCTTTGCATGAAATCAGGTGTTGCCAGACCGCCACTTCATTTGGCACAACAGCGTGCCTTGCATTCGTTCGTAGTTGTAAAGAGAATAGCATTGCCACTAATCAGAAAGCAATTAGAAATTAGCATCAACAAACAATTAGAAATTAGCAATAGCAATGGCAACACACGTAGCAACAGCAACACCAAACAACACTAGCAATAGCAGTTCAGTAGCAGTAACAATAACAGCAACCAGTTAGCAATAACACTAGCAAGAGCAAAAGCAATGGATAGCGATAGCAATATCCATCGCACCATCAGCAAACCATAATAGTCATAGCAATATCAACTGCAAATAGCACGACATTGCTATCCACATCAAAAACCGCCAGCGCCAACGACAGTAACATCAGGTAACAAAAATCAATTACCCAGAGGGCAGTTCTCTAAGTTAGGGTCCCTTTTTGGCCCCCTATCTAGAACCCGGCAATCTTCAAACAAGGACCGTCTAGAGAAGTACCCATACGCCCCTAAACCCTAAACCCTGAATCCTGAACCCTAAACCCTAAACCCTAAACCCTAAACCCTAAACCCTAAACCCCAGTTTTTGGAGAACTAGCTCAAGAGCAGCAACATACAGCAACAAGCTTGCAGAAGAGCTCTGGGAGTGCCAGACCTCCACAAGGAAGCCAAGGCTTCCCGAAACCCCAAACCCCAAACCCCAAACCCTAAACCCTAACCCTAAACCCTAAACCCTAGACCCTAAACCCTAAACCCTAAACCCTAAACCCTAAACCCCAAACCCCAAACCCTAAACCCTAAACCCTAAACCCTAAACCCTCAAACCTTAAACCCCAAGCCCTGAACGCTAAACCTTCAAGGCCAGGATGGATAGAAGTTGTATGTGATTCACTCAGAATTGCAATTTCCATGGGCCACAAGAATCCTCCGAAAGGCTTCAAGAGACAGGTCTTCAAAGGCCTCAAAAGCTCTAAGGCTTCGGAGATCCCACTAGTTCTCCCAAAGACGCCCTGTGCGCCTTACAAGCATCTCTGGGACGCCCCCACGAGGCAAACAAACAAAAACCCCCCAAAACCCCACAACCACCCCGAAACTCCCCACAGACCTGGCAGAACTCCGGACACAAACTCTAAACACTTCCTGGAAAAATCCCGAACCCCAAGCCCTAAACCCCAAACCCCAAACCCCAAACCCTAAACCCTAAACCCTAAACCCTAAACCCCAAGCCCTAAACCCTAAACCCCAACCAGGTTCGCTGTCCCCGGAGCCTCAGAGATTCCAGCCCCTGGCACCGGTGGCCGTGGCCGCCTTCCTGGAGGTGCCCAAGGGTTTTAAGGATGTCAGGGGTTAAGGGTTTAGGGTTTAGGGTTTAGGGTGATTCAAGGGGTTTAACGGGGGTTTAGGGGTTTAGGGGTTTGATGGGGTTTGATGGGGTTCAGGGTTGAGGGTTTAGTGGTTTAGGGGTTTAGGGGGTTTGAGGGGTTTTAAGGGGTTTTAGGTTTAGAATCTCTGGGCAAGAAGGGTGCGGCGGGGGGGACTCCGGGTGTAACATGCCACTGGGAAGCGAGCAAGAGCAAGCCTATGACTTTGCATGTGTGATGTATCCGACAGGCTGCAGCGTCCACCAGGAACACCAGCAATTGAGAACTTTGACGCATGTTTCACATGCTCTGCCAGGGCTACGGCTACGAGGCACGGGCAGATGTCGTCGCTGAGCCTGCATTTTTGTGCTTACGAATTTGGCCAGGTACTCTTTTTGATCCACAAAAACATGTTTTTGCGGGTGTCTTGCTTCGATCGCCGTCTTGGCATTTGGGTATTCACCTAAGCTTTAAACACCAAGCCCAACACCCTGAAGACCCCAAGCCTACAAATCCTCAAAAAACCCAAGCCCAAAATCCCAAACAAATCCAAAGCCTAAACCCCCCCCCCCCGCCCCCAAAGAACACACCCCCAAATCACCCGAAAGACCCAAAAAAGCTCCAAAGGAAAACAGCCCAACCCGCCAGGCCCCCCAACAGACGCAAAAAGCCCTACAAAAATTCCCGAGGACGCCTGGGCTCAGCGGCCCGGCAACGCCGCAGCGCCGGTCATTGTGCCCCGGAGCGTTTGGGGGTTTACGGCTTGTGGTTGAGGGTTGCTGTTTTGCAGGGAAATCGCTGTGCTTGAGCTGTTTTGGGTTTAGAGTCTTTGGGTTTGGGGTTTTAGGGTTTGGGGCTTTGGGTTTGGGGTTGAGGTTTGGCGTGCAGGGTTTGGGGTGTGGGGTTGGGGTGTGGGGTTGGTGTGTAGGGTTTGTTGTTTTGGGGTATTTCCCAAAAAGTAGCCCTACGGTAGGACCTACCCCCGCCCCGATCTGGGAAGCCCAGCCAAGAACCAGGCATTCGAAGTGGCTGGGCACGAAGAACGCGGAGGCGGATAGGTTTGTCTCGAATGACGGGTTTGGGGTTTATAGGGGTTAGGATTAGGGAGCCCCTTGGGGTATGATAATTTTCCTCACTTGGGTTTAAGAGGATCATATGTAGGAATAGTTTTCAGAGCATTCAAATCCATTGCGCAAAGTATCTGTCGCAGAAGACTCTAGCACATCATGGGGCCTTGACGTTTAGTGAGATTTTGGCCCTTCATAAATCCCAAGTGTTTGTTTTTCGTATTTTCTCTAGTCTGGGATTTTCCCCCTTATACTAACATTACTTAATAGGGATGAGAGTACCCCCCGTGATATTCATGGGAGCATCCCAATCTCCAGTCCTCAATGCTAGTGCGCGTCAAGTCTCACGCCTGATCTGCCTCAGGGCACACCTGGTACCAAATGAAGTGCTCCCTCTTGGCCGCGGGACTGCAGAGTTAGGCATGCAGGGTTGCCAGGGTGCGAAGCCAGATCTGTCGGGGGGTGCCTTATGGGGGCCCCTATTCTGAGGGTTAGGGGTCCCTGATTATCCTCAACCCTCATATGTCGAGATGTGTTGCTGTCTCGAACCCCGGCCCTTCAAGAAGACGAGCAGCTGAATGTGGTGATTGTATTGGTTTCTGATTGACTTGCTGTCTTTGCCTTGGGGCCTTTGCGCGGGGGAGGGGGGTGTAAACCCTTAAAACCGCTTAAGCGCCCCAAACCCCCAAAAAACCCAAAAACCCAAAACCCCAAAACACCCACAGGCGCAAACAGACTAGGGAGCTGCCAGGGAAGCTAGTCTGTTTACCTGCCCATCCCTCTTCAGGCGAACCTAATTCAGTTGCGGGTCCTGGGCTTGCGGAAGACAGGCGAGCATACTGCTTGTCATGGTAAACACCAAAACGCGGGCCGTGGTAACAACAAAAACTTGGCGTGGTTACAAGTTACACCCCCTTGACGTGGTTACAACCCGCCCTCGGGTTGGCTCTGATGACTCTGAGGCCCCGCGCTCGGTGCCCGCCCTGCGCTGGCAGGTGGATCGGCGCCTGCTTCTTGCCTAGAGTTCATGTTTTTGGTTGGGCTCTGGGGCTTATAGGGGTTAAGGTATCTAGGGTTTAGGGTTGAGGGGCCAAAGGTATTTAGGGTTTAGGAGCCAGAAAGAAAGCTCCCAACAAGTCGTCACGAGCGCATGAACAGCCTCTTAGGGTTTATGGTTCAGGGTTTCGGGTTTGGGGTTTAGGGTTTAGGGTTCAGGGTTTCGGTTGTCTGCCTCCTTCGGTCGTTTTCTGAATCTGGCACGCCTTAAGCCTAGTTTTCAGCTTCTCCACGTGGGGGGAATCGGTCTTTTATGTGCGGGTACCATAAAAGCAAAGTCCCGCACTCTCATGGGAACCCAAAAGGGACAAACAATTGGAGAACCCCCCAACCCCCCCCCCCCCTCCCCTTTTCTCAAGATTGTTCTTGAGCTGTGGTGACCTTCAGCTTTTGTTCTTCGCACCGGGTCCTGAAGCATCAGTCCAGAGCCCAAAGCTAGAAAAAGCGGAGGGCCGCGTCCGCATGCAAGCCGGCAAACGTGGCTTTGCCACGTCTTGTCAAAAGCCACAACTTAGGTCCAGTCTGCGCGAGGAGTTGCACGAAACCTGGGCCAAAACTTGGGGGTGGGTTGCAGGCACTTCGCAAGACATGGTTGCTGTCATCTCTTGGCACGTTCGGGATTGAATCATAGGACAAAAGTATTCATAGTCTCAATAGTCATACAAAATATTCTAGTCATAGTGATCATAAGCATCAAAACAATCGAACGAATCACAATAAGCAAACTATAAGCAACATTCAGAAGAGTCATAGTACTCATACTAATTTATCGTGACCATAGTCGTCATGGCAACCATAATCATCATAAAAAGCATAGTAGTCCTAATCACCATAACAATCATTATCATCCTAGTATCCATGTTAACCATAAGAGCCATACTGATCCTATTAAGAAGAAGGGTTGCAATAATCACAATCACCATAATAGAGGCAATAGCGATGGTCTTCATAATGGCGTTCTCAATGTGAAAGCTCCCAAGTTGGCCCGCTTTGCAACGCCAAGGATAGGATCAAGGACGCACTGGGATCGAGCTATGCCACGCAGTTTGGCAAGACGCCTTTTGCGCTGAAAGGCCTCTTGGTACAACCGCGGGAGCACAGAACGTGCGGCCCTATTAAGAACCTAAACCATAAACCCCAAGCCCGAAACCCTGTATAAGCCCTGAAGCCTAAAGCCTAAAGCCTAATGCCTGAAGCCTGAAGCCTAAAGCCTGAAGCCTAAAGCCTAAAGCCTAAACACTAGACCCTAAACCCTAAGCTCCTCAAGGGCCCGAACATGATCCTAAATAGTTTCGAATCGCTCTGCGCCCCGTCTGTCGACTCCTGGGGTCAGTTGCAGCAACTGTTTTCAGGTGGTCTGCCAGGCACCACTGCGCGGCTCAATGCCTGGTCACTTGGTAGACTTATTGGCTGTTGGGTTACCCTAAACCCTAAACCCTAAACCCTAAACCCTAAACCCTAAACCCTAAACCCTTAACCTTAAACCCTAAACCCTAAACCCTAAACCCAAGACCCAAAACCCAAAACCCTAAGCCTAATCCCTTAACCCTAAACCTTAACTTCATTTTCGTTTGGAGGATTAACGGGTGTTTGCAGCACTTGCTGGGAAATGACTTTACTCGTGCGTTCGCGATGTTCATGGGAGGTCGCGCCCGAGTGCGGCCTGCACCACAGAGATACGCATATATAAGTATATATGTATATACTACTGTATATATTTTATACACACATATACAAGTAACAAATGCAAAGTTAAATAAATAATTAAAGAACGGCTAAATAATCTATCAAAATATGTATATCAGCATAGCTATAAATGTAAATATAAATAAAAGATAAGTAAATACATATATATATATATATTATACACTACTCATTACTCCCAGCATGGCAGGTTCGGCTCCATGGCAGAAGTTGTGAATCGCGGCGATGCCAAGCCATCTGTGGTGGCGCTGCTTCTCCTCTTCCTGGAGGCAGGGTCTTGCCGTGCTCCGTCCACCTCCTCAGCAGCAACTGTGTCTCTTCAAAGACTTCGGCTTTAGGGTATAGGGTTTAGGGTTTAGGGTTTAGTAAGTCGACCTTCCCAAAGACCGGAAAGCAAGAGAATGACACGGTCTCGGCTACGTGGCAACCCCTGAAGTCAAATCTGGACTCTTGTGTCGAGATCGCTAGCTCGTAAATTGGTGCATCCACAGGGTTTAGGGTTTAGGGTTTAGGGTTTAGGGTTTAGGTCGGATGTCGGGTTGTTCGTCGCAGGCACCGGAGCAAGCGGAGCAACCGGAGACGGCTGCGGAGCCCACTCAAGAGGCCTGGCAAAGGCTAAGCGCCTAAAACAATCCACGTTGTTGCTAATATTATTGTTGTTGTTATTATTATTATTACAACTACTATTCTTATTAGTATTATTATTATTATTACTACTACTATTCTTATTAGTAGTATTATTATTATTAGCCCCGAGACATGCTGTCATCCGACGAGGCACCGCGCAGCTCGCCGGAGAGTGCGTATGTCAGAGCGGCGCCAGTGCAAGTCGGGGCCGAGGCGCGCCTGGCATGTAGGAGGGCGTTGAAGAGGCTCACAGGCCAGCTCGCATGCCTCGAAGGGATTGAAGGGGGGCTACGTCGGTGCGTCTTGGAACGGCAAGCGCTTGTGCAGGACCGAACTCCCACGAGCGACCTGAGCCCTGTGGCGCACGAGGGCCATGTGAGCGAGGAGGAGATTGAAATCAGCTTGGAGGATTAGATCCCGCTGATTCTAGAGCTGTGGAGGTGTCGTCCTTTGTGTGTGGCACCTGCCTTTGAAGCGTCCACGTCGTTCCTGTGGCGCGAATGAGTTCCAGTTGTTCGGCATCCTGAGGGTGGTGTCTAGTCGCGCGCACGCGGGACAAATGTGATGCTTTGCTGATTACTTTCGGTATGGACCAGTCATGATGATGCGCCCCTGCAAGAATATCCCTTGCATCATTCATCACTTGATATCAATCTGCTGGCCCGTGGACCGGGTGGTGGCTCAAGAGTCCTGCTTCTGGACCCTGCAGCGGAACTAGCTGAATATCCCGACATCTCGCCATCAGGTTTGCTTGCCGGAGCTTGCAGGCATAGCAAGGCCTACAACATGCAGCAGGTACGACATACTCCAAACATCAATGATAAGCGTCGGCTCGAAGTCCTCTGAAGCTTTGTGGCGTAGGCGTAACACCCAAGAAGCCTCGACGTATAGGCCCTGACGCATCTCAGACACTTCCCATTAATAATAACAAAAATAACAGTAATAATAAGTAGTAAATAATAATAGTAATAATAATAATCATAATAATAATACAATCAATAAGAAGAATAACAATAATACTAACAATAATGGCCCGCTTTTCGCGGCTTCCGGAGCTGCGCCCAGCGGAGCTCAGTCAGGCGCAGCGCGCGCTCTACGCCACCCCGGCTGGTGTTCTTTGGTTTAGGGTTTGGGGTTTAGGATTTAGGGTTTAGGATTAGAGTGCACCTGATTCAACCTCCTGAGTAAGAAGCTCGCTTGAAGCTTGCCATATATGCCAGGATCGCATTGTGGCTGCAGCAAAAGACGCCTCTGGCAAGCTGAGAACTCAGATGAGTTCGGCCTTTTGTACTTCTCTGTGACTCCCGAGCCCGCACGATATATACGGGCGAACTGGAGCGTTTGATTTGCCGTCTGGCGCTGCAGGTTCGTGCGGACTCTGGTTTACGGGGTTAAGGGGTGGACAAAGGAGTCTTCAGCTGCTGTCACTTGCACACTCCAGGCCGCTGAAGACCCGGGTCAATGAGGCGCGTTTCCTTGAGGGACCTTGTGGATCGGTCGTGGACGATGTTCCTTACGAGGCCGCACTGCGTTGCACTCCTCCTGAGGAGACGGGCGGATTGCTTGGGCCCTTCAATGCTTTCCTTCGCTGGACGCCCAGAGTTTGCTGCGTTGATTCAGGGTAGCTTGGGGTTTGGGGTTTAGGGTGTGGGGTTTAGGGTGCAGTGTTTAGGGCAAGGGATCGGGGGTGACTGCAAAGGTGGTTGTAAGGTGCCTGGTGCCCCCAAATGACTCTTTAGCCTGCTAGCATCAGGTGTTTTCTTGCATCTCCCAACCCTAAACCCTACACCCTACACCCCAAACCCTACACCCTAAACCCTAAACCCTAAACCCTAAAACCCAAACCCCAAATCCTAAACCCCAAACCCTAAACCCTAAACCGTTCTCAGCCTCAGGCTCTCCACACCTGGGTGGACAGCTGGCGGTGCTTGCTGAGACGACACTTGGTCCCAGTTCATGGACTCTGACATGGGGGTTGTCGAAAATAAGCCCCCCCCCCCGCCCAAATAGTAGGATTCCCTGATAATACGGACCCCAATAAGGTACCCTAATTTTCGGAAACCATCCACATGACTTGGGTTGATTCTAAAGAGCTGCGGAAGTAACCCTGAAGTTCTCAGCAACATACCAACCACGGCTCCAGCATGCACAACAATCACAATGACCGCAAGCCAGCACGATCTCAACAGCTGCGACGACAATGAGACGACTACAAAAGCGGCAGCAACAGCGGCGCAATCCTTGCGTGAGTGAAATTCAGACCAATCTAATCTCTGCGGCTGATGCATCCCAGCGTGTCGCGTGTTCAAACTGTGGGGCGGTCGCCATCTTGAGGTGAACCAGCCAGCCACGAAGTCGTCTTTCTGAGAATCTTAGGGTTTCGGGGCTCCTTCCCTTGTAGGGTTCTTAAGGGAGGGAGGTATCTTACCCCCATGAACCCCCCCCCCTCTCGTTTAAGGACCCCAATAATTCCTGCTACAGAGTGGGCCTCTGGGAGCTTAGAGGTTCGCTTGCCGCTCCAGGCTTCGCTTTGGAGACCTCCAGGCAGGGCAGAGGCTGCTGGAGCGGCCCGGAAGCATAAGAATGCGATTAGGGTTTAGGGTTTAGGGTTTTGGGTTCTACCAAAAAAAAATGAACCTAAGAAGATCAAGAAGAATAAGAATAGTAAGAAGAAAATTGATGAGAAGGATATTTGGGCATATGGCAATCTGCTTGCGTGGGGTCGGAGAAGTGCTGAAGTTTCACGAGAGGTTGCTTGCCGTGTACGCCTTGGAACGCGTGGAGTGGAGACCATGTCTCAATTAGGTTCACAGCCTCCTTCGTCCAGGTCTTCCACTACAAAAGCAAGCTCTTTTCAGAGCCTCCTCACCCTAAGTCTAACCCCTCGTTCCGTATAGGTCTTTTAAAAAATGACCGCCTTCAGTGACAGTCGGTGGCAAGTAGCTCCACCCAACGCCATGCCGAGCGCCTCGGAAGCTCCCTCGATCGCAGCGGCGGTGTCTTTCGGCGCCATCCTCGACGTGAAGGACAAGCACAGCCTGTATGCCGCTCGGTGTGAGAACCCTGCATCGCTTGTTTATTTCTGAGGTGAGGAGGAGTCGTTTTTTCGATTTGGCCTGTGGTACTACTTACTTTCGTCCTAGTGGTTTCGAAGACAGAAGCGACAGCCATCGCCCTTGTCGAAAGGGAGAGGCGCGTTTTTGAAGGTGCTTAACGTTTGCGGGGATCAGTTCCTAGTTCCTGGCGCCGCATTGATGCACATACACGCAACAACATGTCTGTATCTCCATATGACTCATATGACTCATATGACTCATATGACTCATATGACTCATATGACTCATATGACTCATATGACTCATATGACTCATATGCCTCATATGACTCATATGACTCATATGACATATGATGTATGATACCGACGCACCACGTGCACGCTGCTACATGTCATATCCCACAGCTGGCTGACATTTCTGGTGCCTGGCCTGCTCACAGCCCTGACTTCAGGTAAGCAACCTCAGCGTCACGGCGCCCTGGATGAAGTCGGAATGTAGGGTATGTGTCGGGTCAAGATTCTCTCGTACCATACCTATCCCCAAAATGGACTAAGGGTGCAGAAGCCAAGCATCCCCAGGCACCGGCAAAGCCCACGTCTTCGTGCTCAGGTGACTGAGGACTCGCTGCGTGAGATCTTCCGCCACTGCGGGCCTCTGGATCAGGCTCACACTTGGCCCAAACAGCAGGGACTGCAGCAGGGGGGCGCCCATAACCCCAATCCATCCACTCCAAACCATGCAAGTGGATACCCACTGGCAGAGGTGATCTTCCGCACATATCCTGGCTCCTTGAGACTTGGGCGGGCAGTGGACACTTCTGAAGGGTGTTGGACTTGGCGTCAAAAAGCAGGTTGCGCTTCTTGCTGGCAGTCGACTTGCTCAGCCCGGAAGTTTGCAGCACGGAAATTTCAGGGATGGTGTGTTCATCCATCCTTTTCATCGTGGAAGTAAGATGACCCCGGATTGCAGACCTGGATGCATCTCTCGACTGATTTTTTGTGCAGCGGATGCATCTCTACCCACCACTCCCCCATGCCACAACTCCGTGTTGTGGAGCCGGCGTATGCGGCAACGGTCTCTTCGCGAGGTTTCTTTAAAAACCCTACACGAAGGAGGTTAGCCACTGCACTGCTCATGTGTTTGCAAAAACTGGGTCCATTCATGACACACGACAGTGTTGCTTGTTTTGGGTCCTGCTGTGCCAAAAGCATTCCGCTCCTGAGGCACATTCAGATTGAAGGTATGTGATCCAATGCATAAACCACAAGCTTGGATGCCGAATCATTGGCTGAAATGCTGCCCTAGACCCCAAACCCCAAACCCCAAACCCCAAACCCCAAACCCCAAACCCCAAACCCCAAACCCCAAACCCCAAACCCCAAACCCCAAACCCCAAACCCCAAACCCCAAACCCTAAACCCTAAACCCTATAAACCCTAAACCAGGAAATGGTATGCTCAGCTGAACTTCCAGACGGCCGATGGTGTGGTCGAGGCGAGCAAGATGGAAGGCCGAATGCCGGGGCATCAGGGGATGAGCTCCGGGGCTTGGCGGTTTAGGGTTTAGGGTTTGGGGTTTAGGGTTTAGGTTTTAGGGTTACGGTTTAGGGTTTAGGGTTGAGGGTTTAGGGTTTAGGATAAAGGCAGGCGGTCAAGCTGGATGCGGGATCTTCTATGCTAGCATCAGAATCGACCTGTGGAACCAGCAAAAACAATTGAAGAGTGTCATAGTGTACTAGAGTAAGTGGTATAGGAATGAGAGCTAGATGGTTGGAAGCCTGGGACAGGTTGTTTCTCCACCACCTGCTAAATCTCTAAACCCTAAACCCTAAACCCTAAACCCTAAACCCTAAACCCTAAACCCTAAACCCTAAGCCCCTAAAGCCTGGACTGCTCAAACATTTGGCACGCGGGCCTCAGGGACCCCCATCTGCGGGACGGGGATCCGCTGCTCCGACGCCAAGCCGAAACTAGAGTTGTGCAGTGGAGGTTCAGGGTTTAGGGGAAGGATTTAGGGTTTAGGGTTCAGGGTTCCGGGTTTAGGGTTTAGGGTTCAGGGTTCAGGGTTCAGGGTTCAGGGCAGACGAAGTTTTCTTCGAGGAGAGGGGTTGAGTCGAGCTGAGACACCTTCGACCCTAAACCTTAAAGCCCCCAAACCCTAAACCCTAAACCCTAAACCCTAAACCCTAAACCCTAAACCCTAAACCCTAAACCCTAAACCCTAAACCCTAAACCCTAAACCCTAAACCCTAAACCCTAGACCCGAAACCCTAAACCCTAGACCCGAAACCCTAAACCCTAAACCCTAGCCCCTAAAACCTAAACCCTAAGATCAAGATCAGCCGAGGCCATCGATCCCACTGCCTATGCGGCCAACGACGTCCTTGCCCGCCTCCAGGCGCATGCAGGGTTAGAGGCGTCGGAGGCTGCATAGCTGGCTGTTTTTAACTCCAATGAACCTTTGACCTCTATGTTGGGACTCCCCTAACCCCAACCCCCAACCCCCAAACCCCAAACCCCCGAACCCCAAACCCCGAACCCCGAACCCCAAACCCCGAACCCCAAACCCCGAACCCCAAACCCTAAACCCTAAACCCCAAACCCCAAACCCCAAACCGTAAAGACTAAACCCTAAACCCTAAACCCTAAACCCTAAACCCAAACCCTCAACCCCAAACCCTAAACCCTAAACCCTAAACCCTGGAGCCGGAGTTGCAGGCCAAAGAAGAGGCCGCGAACAAGGAGGATCCCGAAGCTGCCAGGCCCAGCAGTGGCGCAACGTTCCCACGCGTTCTATGGGGGTTTAGG